TCCATGAACAACAGCGTGGCGATAAGATAATTGTGTTTGCTGATAACCTTTTTGCTCTTGTTGAGTATGCAATGAAGCTACGTAAACCTATGATCTATGGTGCTACCAGGTGAGTTATACCGAGAGTTTCCCTTTGATCAAACGGTGCCAAGCTTGCTTTAAGTTCACATATTTTAACTATAGACCAATTGTTTGTATTTGCAGCCATGCTGAGAGAACAAAGATTCTCCAGGCCTTCAAGACTAGCAAAGATGTGAATACGATATTTTTGTCGAAGGTATTTCATCTTGTTATGTCTACCCGTATTTCTTTGGTGTTTTAACCTTTCAGGGGGCACACTGTACTCTAGCCCTAGAATGAACGATGAGGGAATTGAATCCTTGACCTTCTCAATGGAAGTGTGGATGATTAGGGTTCCGTATTATTATTTTTTACTATATCACTCAACTATTTGTTGTCGTGTACAGGTTGGTGATAATTCTATAGATATTCCTGAGGCCAATGTGATTATTCAGATCTCATCACACGCTGGTTCTAGACGGCAGGAAGCTCAACGGCTGGGTCGTATTCTTAGGGCAAAAGTAAGACACTAGTCCATTCACGCTTTCCTTTGAAAGCAAGAGTAACTTCAGCAAATTGTATTTGTTTCTTATGTACCATTTTTGTTTAATGCCGAAACTTCGTAATCCGCTCATGTACTGTAAACATTTTGCTTAGGCTTCACTTGTCTCATGCATGTCCATATGGATTGATTTTACATGACGAAGCGTGCGGTCAACAGTTGTTGACTGGATAAATTAGTGTTGACTTTTGGTTAACAGGGAAAACTTGAAGATAGGATGGCAGGAGGGAAAGAAGAGTACAATGCATTCTTTTACTCTCTTGTATCTACGGATACACAGGTACAACTTTACCTTTTACCTCTGCCTTTGATTTAAAGATATTCTAATTAGGACTGTCTCTTGGGTACAGGAGATGTATTACTCAACCAAACGGCAACAGTTCCTAATCGATCAGGGTTACAGTTTCAAGGTACTTCCCCAGTCCATAGTTTTCTGTAATTCTACCCTCGATATAGTTTATGCTTGATGTACAAGATGTGGAATCTATGGCCCAAGGCCACTCAAGACTTGCCTCTGGTTAGGATTACTATAGCAATGTGTTGAAGAGTTATTTTGTGGTGTGTATCTGAGTGAGGCATTAGATAACTTGTTAATTGGTCATTGCCGCAGTCTCAAATCTAATTTATAGCCTCATAGTGGCAATTGATGATCTGGGGCATGTGTATCTTCTAGTGTGAAGGTTTTGATGAACTGGCAATTGAACAGGTTATAACAAGCTTGCCTCCACCGGATTCAGGAGCTGAGTTGAGCTACCACAGCCAGGATGAGCAATTGGCTCTTCTGAGAAAGGTTTGCCTTTGTAGCTCTGCTGTGTTTGCGGACTTAAGGTACAACAAAATTAAGGGGGGATTTTTCTTGCTTGACATTGGCATATCTATCAGGTTTTGACTGCCAAAGATGACATGGTGGGTTTAGAGCAGCTGGAAGAAGATGCTGATGATATTGCTCTTCACAAGGCACGCAGGTTTGCAGGATCAATGAGTCACATGTCTGGTGCTAATGGAATGGTTTACATGGAGTATAGGTAAGGAAAAAAATTCCAGTTCTGTTTCGTGTGTTCCCCTCCCTTTTCTCTGCTCACCTTCCATATTTTGTTTGGTGTGCAGTACTGGACGAAAACTTCCACCAGGTTCGAAGTCCAAGCCAAAAGATCCAAACAAGCGCCATAACCTGTTCAGAAAGCGTTATGGCTGAGATGAGAAATCGAAACTTTCACTTTCAGCTCAGTTCATTTTGACAACCCAGATGAGTGAAAGTACACACCACCCTCATATTATAGTTGTTATCTGCACTACCGCTCTCGCTGAATGTTCTTTCACAGAGTTGTAAAAGTCGAGTGATATTGAGAAAGCCTTATGAAGTGGTGTGATGAAAGAAAGTTTCTTGTCTCATTGCAGTGGGCCGAACGTCGAGAAACAATTCATATGCTGCGTCTCTGGCTGCGAGGAAATGATGTTAGAATAGCGCCCCCCACTTAAGTTGAGAATTGAGATACATGTATCTTTAGTAGCCAGAATAAACTGGGAATGTTGTTAATATATGTGGTTGTAAAACTGATTTCTTTCGGGTTTCTATCTTTATTAATATAATTATTATTAAGGAAATAATCGTAGGTATTTTTTCAGAAATAGCACTGTTTAAAAAAAATTATAAAAATAGCTCCCAATCTCGAAAAATTTCAAAAATAGCACCCTTTTTCAAAAACCGCTGGGAGGGGCGCGATTTTCAACCAAATTGCTTTGGTTTGAGGTGGGTTGGTTGATCGCAGAGGGGTAGGGGTGGTTTGGTTCAAAACTGTTCCCCCAGCCAGCGGTTTGGTCTTATAATTTTTTTTCTTGATTATTCCTAACCTATGTGGAAATTTCAAGCAAACGTATCATTGTGCTCGGGTATTCGATCGTGGTGACTTTTTTTTATTCCGCAAAACCTTTCGAGATCTTGCAAGCCGCAAACTGCCGGTCTCTCCTTCGTCGCGAAAAATGTTGTTTGCTACCCTAAATAGGAGATTTTTTTTTATTTCGTCAAACTTTGGACAGTCATAACTTTCTGCTCCAAAATCCGAACGTCATGATTTTTTTTTTTCATTTCAGATAACTTTTCAAGGACTACAATTTTTATCATAGACGTAATTTAAGAATATAGGTGAATTTGTGAAAATAAAAGAATTTGTGAAAATAAAAGGTAACGTTATTCTCAAAACCAATATCTCCAAAATAAATCATGTTTTGAAAATATTAGCTAACGAGAAAGCCCACGAGTTGTGCTCATTATAAACAAGAAGTTGTGCTCATATACAGAAAGCCCATGATTTCAGCTTTCTGTATTTACACGTGGCAGGTAGTAAGTGGTGGGAAGTGCGTGGAGCTCCATCCTGGACCGTAATAGAACCAAACCCATTTGGCATTCGGGTATATATATATAATCCGACGACTCACGCTGCCTGTTTGAGATCGCGAAATTTCAGTCAAATATCAAGAATCGATTTCTGCTTCACGCGTCGGCTGCCATCTCTGATCTGATCGAGCCTCTCCTCCCCGCCGAAGTGAGTTTCATGATCTATTGCTTCTTGCGCTATTCTTTTATATCGTCTGGTCTCTTTAATCATAGATCTGGTGTTCTTGCATTGTCGATCCATTTGATAGGAGGGTAGGGGTTGTTGGATTGAGTTTCGCGATTTGTATGCAGTTCAGTTGGCTTGTTCTTCGAATATGATTCATGTCGGATTCAAGTTTGTAGCGAAATTAGGGCATGAATTTGGCGCGTTCTGAAGGAACCGATCTCAGATAAAAGCTGTTTTGTTCCTCGGGGATGGATCTAATATGAGCAGTGGTCTCCAAATTGATATATGATCCTTTTTCATTTTTCCTGTCAGTTGTGTAACTGCTAATCTGTTTATGGGCGTGTGGAGATTCCGGCGTCAATTGGAATTTTGATTGGATCATGTGGAACTTGACCCCGCACCTCTTATGCATAATTTGGATGGAGTATATGGCTAATTTCTGGCTTGCTATGCATAATTTGAAAAATAGATGTGAACTTAGTGGATGCATTTTCAGATTGGGGATGTCTCTTACATTATTTCATGATCGAGCATTGTGCTCATGTGAGTAGTTCTAATTGATTGAGTTGGAATGACTAATAATTCTAGGTGTGGCGCACTTGAATGGAACTAGGTGGTGCCAAAAACTGGCCATGCCCCTTGCTGTGTGCTGTCTGATTGCTTTTGAGTGTGATGCTAAACCCTAAACTCATTTGGTCAGTTGCAGAAATGGCACTAGGTGGAACAGCTCCCCCGCGAGGAAGTGCAGCTGCTGCTGCAAGCATGCGCAGGAGAAGAACCACTGGTGGTGCTGCTGGTGGTGGTGGTGGTGCTGCAGGAGGAGGAGCCGCTGGGACCATGCTCCAGTTCTATACCGATGATGCTCCGGGCCTCAAGATATCGCCGAATGTCGTCCTGTTTATGAGCATCGGCTTCATCGCTTTCGTTGCCGTTCTTCACGTTGTGGGTAAGATATACCTTGTTCGAAGGGAGGCTTGAAAGACCGCGATATACGCCTTGTGAGTTGATGCCAGCGGAGCTAGCTAACTCTTGTGCTGTTCATTTTCTTTTTCTCGGGGATTCAGTGTAACAGCCGTAGACAGTTTTTATGCATCAATCGCGTGCCAGCGTTAGATCAAACCTTGTCTCATCTCTGCCTACTCTTTGATCAGTTGGATTTTGCTAGAGATTTGGTTTTATATATGCGCACAGGATCAGTTTTGCTGCCTTTTTTGTGGTGCTTCTTCACTTTGGACAAGCCTTGTGGTAGGTGAATGGATTTTCTAGAAGCTTAGGACAAAGAGTTGCACTCGGCAGCACAATCAGAGGATTCTATTGGGGATTTATGGTAAATGGCAAGCTTGGTCACTAGAATAACTATATAAAAAACTACTTTCGCACTTTCGCCACTAAAATTATTTTATTCAATTCTTGATCCCATCAGCAGTTTCATCCACCTTTGTGGTACCACGATGATTATGGAGCTTTGTCGCACAAATATAGAAGAAATACAAATCCTGCCCAATATCTATGGATGGGTAAAATTGTCATCCCTAATTGAGGCTAGAGAAAGAACGTCAAAGAACATCGAGTCTGAATTTTTTATGGTAAGATATCGAAATTATGTGCCCTCCGTAATTGAGTAAAATTGCCATACCTAGCTAGTCGAGGACCCAAATCATCAGCACGAACTCCATATTCTACAATTATGTGCCCTCCGTCGAGACACGCATTTTCATTTTACATGTTCATAGCCGTATTATTTAACTTCACGTTTGGGTACCCATTCCATCTCTTTGCTCGATCTAAATGTAAGATAACTGAACGACTCACGATACTTTGGTAGGGGCTATGCCCGTGTTCTTATTAGTTTGAGTGGATGTGCTCTGCACCCATTTGGATGGAAAATAAAGTTCGTTAAGTTAATGATGATTGTTACGATAATTTTAAAGAGGGCACAAAGAAGTTTCTGTCTCGGGCAGGAATTTCACAATTTGATCAAAGAAGCCGAGGATTTCTCTAAGAACAAGGAAATTCACATTTAGTTTCCTAGTGCGCGCCCTCGGAAGCCCAATTAGTACCAGAGACCATACTCTCATCCATAGGCTTCAAACCCCCACAAGATCTTGCAACCGATTCAAACAGCTTCTCAATCTCCGGAGCGCATCTTATGAAAGTTCGGTTCCAGAAATTGTACCTCGGATTCTGCACATGAAAGTCGACCCCCAAATGGGGAGTTAATACTCCAGTTCAGACTGCAAGTTGACCCAAGACAAGAAGAGGATCGTGAAAGCAGTCCATGAACAAGGATTACCTTGATTAGCTCAATGAAAGTTATCAAAAGGCCCCACGGATGGGGTCTGTTAACGATCAGGCGTTCCAACAGGACTCTGGTAATCTGCTCCTGGATAATTTCCTATAATTTAACAAAGAGGATTTCCATTCTTTAAGATCCAAGGGAATCGTGAAGATAGATGCAAGAAAAGACTAAGCTCGAGTAAATAATCAGGAATACCCACCTGATTTGACTCAGCAAATAAGTAGAGCAGAACAAAGGAGAAGTAATGTGTGTGGTTGTTGGGATAGCGCAGTTGGTTCGCAACAGCATTGAGGAAGAGGTATCGACCTTCATTGTCTAGCTCAACTACTAGGGTCTGGTAAATATCCAAAGCAGCATCCACTAAGAAACCAAGAGGGCCTGTATTCCCAGGTGCCTGTGCATGAGGTGTTCTTGCCTGGAGCTGCTGGATGGCCTGAATACAACAATTAACTCTTAGCAAAAGCAAAAACACAGGCATTGACCCAGAACCACTAAAGAAGGAACTGCTGCAAACTTAGAAAAGCCACCCAAGCGCCTACCTGCATCCCTGTGTAAAGGACGAGAGAATTTACGAGTGCTACATTGTAATGAGACCCGGCAGTTGAAGCCTCGCTTGGCACAAGAAGCAGCCTCTGCTTCAAGTTGGCGAGGAACAAGGAACCCTGTTGTCTTGTCTGCAATAAGCATGCACGCAACAGTTCCAACAGGATACCAGAAAACTGAAGCAAATAGCCAAAGCAGTTAAAGAACGCAGCAAATTAGGTTACCTTCAGATACTCATCCACATCAGCCTTCATGTTCTTTGCTCTAAGAGCAGCATCAACTTCAGACAAGATGTGCGGTGGTTCTCTAATTTCAGGAAGCAAATCAATCTGTTGACCAAGAAGATGCAGTTCCAATCAGCTTTGTTAATAAGAAAAAAGAATAGTGCCCAAATTGCACCACAATTTCAGCATCCATCAAACAGAACCTTTAAATTTGGAGTAGACGGATCTGGAAGCCTCATATTGCGAGGAAAAGCACTCAGAATGATATTGCGCATTTGTATGCAACTTGAAGGTATGACATCACAGAAGGTGAAATGATAGTCGCACAGGAACTCAGGAAAATCGTGCAGTAGAACTAGCAGCACTCTAAGTGTACCTTTGTAGAGAAAGGAGATCTGCAGGAAATAGGACAATGAATATAGAGGGGAAGTCATTTTACACCCAAAATGGATTACGACAAAAGAAAACCAACAGAGTTCAGAATGCATACTGGTCCTCGTAATTCAGCATTTCTTAAAAAAGGCTCTAGGAACTGAAACAGGTCCACCAGCAACCGTTGAACATAGGGCCACCCCTTTTGAGCATTTCCAGTAAGTAATTTTGGCATGAAGCTCCTGTGACTTACTAACTCAAGCCACGCATAGCTGTAGATACATAAACAGCATTTATTGGCTTAACAGGCAATCACTCTAGAGAGAGAGAGAGAGAGAGAGAGAGAGAGAGAGAGAGAGATGCGTTTTAGAGGGGTTGTCTATGTGGAGTGATACTTCTAGGCTGAACAGAGATAAGCCCGCAGCCTTGTTTAGCATCAATACAGGTTTAGAAACTAAATTGCAGCCAGAAACTGCTCTATGAACTTGGTGTATATTAAAGTTGGGTACAAGGAGCACAACAAAACTAGAACAGGCTAGACTACCAGGGGCTGTTGGATCAACCAAGGAACAGGTTCCAGGTTCAGTTTGCCTAGGCTATACAGGTACCTCTAAATAATAATCAGCATTACTCAAGACCTATCTAAATTTCGAACAAGGGGGGAGATCAACTCCATCCTCAAGATGAAAAAACTAAACATGTAACAGATACTTCGACAGCCCGACACAAATTGTAGAACCTGCTCGAAGGAAGTGTCATTTGTATCACTTGAGAAAGTTACTGATGTTTACCTGAAAGTAGGAATTTTAAGAGGTTGCAAAAGATGGAACGCTTGAGCAAAGGAAGTCAGCATCTGCAGAGAGCCAGTGTCTCGTTAGACAATGCGGTTGACAAAAAATGATAATGAACTGAAATAGATAAAAAGAACTTTCATGCAAAGATTAACAATAAAACGAAAAGCAGATCAAAGGATAACAATGATAACAAGAAGCATAAGGATATACCTGAAAATTTCCACCATCATTTACTGGCTCAAGAGTAACAAGATCTAGCAATAAGTTTATAAACAATCTGAAATATGGCCTTGGATTAAAAGATGGTTTCTTCTCCTCGGAATCCTTCTGTATATATCTTACAGTAACAGCCAGCATCTGTAGACCATAATGTGTAAGATAAATATTGGGTTCGGAGTGTGAAATCGGAAATAAAAAAACGGTCCACTCAGTTTACCTTTGACAGAAGAAAATGTTTACTTGATCCCTGCTCGGCCTGACAACACTAACAATTCTTAGAAGAATACAAAAGTGGAAAAGCAACGGAAGGGTCACATAACAAGCGCTAACGGTTACCTTTAGAATTGCAAACACGAGTTTTGCAAATATATCAATGGCAAGGAACGACATATTCTGCCCCTGTTGAGGCCCTTGCATCCCACCTGAATTCACCACCTCGGAAGATAGACAATGGTCGACCGAGAGTTCCTAATAACACCAGTGAAGTATGCTTACCATTACAATTGCTACTTACTTCTAGTGAACCACCAGTAACGAGATAGAAAATTTGACAAAGATTAATCACCATAAGAATGCGGAAAAACCGGTCGGTCAAATCATCACCCTTGAGGAACCCATTCTGGTGCAATTGTAAGAGGTAATGGTTATATGTGGTCTCATTCGAGCCTGGTAGTTCACATATCCGGTACCATTCGCGGAATAGAGCAGTAATCTACAACCAGTATCAGGGATGAGAAAAACAAAAAATGGACACAACAAGAAAAGAAGCACATGCTATGAGTAAACTACCTCATTGACCAAATCAGAAACCACATGTAAATTCAATTGAACAATATCAAGCTCAACCCACCTGATCCCGGAATCCAGCAGGGTCAGGTTCTACAGACTCCACATTATTGAAGTCGTCACGGCCAATTGAAGGCTGACTGGGAGCCTGCTAGAAACAGGCAGATATAATTTCAGATAGTCCCATTGGGAGAGAGAACATGAACCCACCAAATTAACACCGACCTTTCTCTGTCTAGTTTTATCATCTTTACCAACAGCAAAAGCTGATATAGCAGCGGCATTAGCTGTAGGATTCCTCACAATCTCAATAAGCTGTTGCAGCGATTCAGAAGATCCAGGTTTTGCAGCAATCTGCATGCCAAAATCATTAAGAAACCACAGTGGGACCAGACAATCTAACAAGCAGAGAAATGAATCAAACCTTGGCCAACGCTTCAACAAGATTATGGAGTTCGGAAATGGCATTGTACTCATCGACAACCAAAGCCTGGATAAGTGAAACAGAGAATTCCGTCGCAGCCTCTGCAATTAAGTTGGAATAGTTAATAAGTAGTGAATATCAACCAAAATAAACATCAAAACACTGTGATTCTGGGACCATACTATTCCTTCCACCGTCAATAAGCTTTGCCATATGAACATTGTACTCAGCAAGATTGAGCAATTCACTGTGTATAAGACCCATAGTAATATCTTTATTGAACTTCCGCTCCTCATCCGAGTAAATGACCTGGAAAATGTATTGAAAAAATGATAATTTGTCTGCGAACTATAGTCAAAGAATGAACAAGAAAACAATGTTCTGAATAAGTTACTTGGACAAGTCAACCAAAAAGAAAATACAAAACATGCCCGAAAGAATTAAGCCAGACAATGCATACACTGGAACATAATTAAAAAGATTAGAAGGGCCAGCGTACATACCCAGCTTGTGAGTTCTTTAACCACAAGCTTGCAAACATCACGAATCGCAACCAAAATTGCAAGACAAGCACTAACATGAAAAGTATTTGAGGTGTTCTCATACAATCCCTTGAAAACCTGCACAAAAAATAAAACGTAAACAAAATCGCGGAACTTGAGAACATGCAATAACAGCCAAACACTTGAATCAATACATGGCACAACAACAGGGAAAAAGCAAACCTTTTGAGCAACAGCTAGGGCAGCCTCATCTCGACTTATGCAGCGAAGTATGATATCGGGCACCTCAGCAATCACTCCCTGAGCATGTACAGAGGATGATAAAGGGAGAAAAGTCAGGAGCTGCCACTAAACACTACTAGATCATAATGTAGTTGTAGAAAGAAGACGATAATGTAGATTGAAGGCTTGTCTTATCATTTGGCCAAAATACTCGAGTAGAAAACAGGGAGAAACAGAAGAAACCTGTAGCTCTGCTTCTTTGCCATCACCAGTGACCAACGCCTCCAACTAAAATCATTTAAAAGTGGGATTAATGTACATAAAAATGTTATTGTACTATAACAAATTCAATGAACCAAGAAAATTATGGATCCATGCCATCATAACCATTTGTTGCCCAAGCAATGACACAGGTGACAAGAAGCTGAATCACTTAAGAGAAACAGACCTTTTGGGCAACGACTTGGTATTTATCCAGTGCATCTCTTGTACTTAGGGAAGGTTCAGTAACACTATTCCCCACACGCTCGGAAGCAGTGGATGACGAGATTGGCTGAGAGGAAGCACCAGGTTCCTTTACAAAACATGAAAAAATATTACTAACCATGCTCAAAATAAATACAGCATACAAAACAAGTACATATACAAACACTGGGTTGTTGTCTAACCTTCATACTGTCAGAAGAATCTATGAGAGGAAGTTCAGTAGCGGGACCAGCAACGGAAAATGAAGATGAAATGGCATTCTTTTCAGAATTTTGCCGCATAACAGCATCTGCTCCGATATTTATCGAGGACGAACTGAATGACATCCAGGGAATAATAATAAAAAATCAGTTATATCTCAGAATGGGTAGTACAAGACCGGCCATGCCATAAAATAAAAAGATACCTTGGCAAAAGTGCTGGACTTGAGTCAAGTGCCTCAGAACCCAGATCCAACGTCTGAGATGCTGCATCAAATCCCAGGCCACCAACACTCGACGAATATCCTGTGCTGAGTTGTCCCGACAAAGAGCCATAGGAACTTGTCAAACCACTGGCGGCGAAAGCAGCAGAAGTTGAACTACCAGCAGCAATAGATTGTGAACCCTGGGAAGATTGATTTTGCCAAGGAAGCCGTACAAAGTCCTGAATCAACAAGAAAAACAACAAAGAAGACAGGCTTTCATTCACTTTATCACCAGTATACACTGAAGGCCAGGGATCAGCCACTGCTAAATGTAACTACATGCAAATTACAATTAAGTGAATACCTCATAAACTCGCTGCTGAGACAAGGATAAGTGGCCAGGCTTCGGACGGAGGGCTTCAGGTAGCACACCTAAGGAAGCCTGGGTATACATGTTCGTCTCAAATAATGTTTGGCCAACACTGTCTCTATGTTTCCTTCTCAACTGTAGTTGATGGGCTATTTCACCATTAATAGTTTGTATGGCCTTCAGCATATGAGAGAAAGATAAGCATCAGAATTTGGCAGTCAATAGAACTGCATTATCACGACAAGCTCAGTCCCACCAAAAATACACAAAAACCACCTGGCTAGATTAATCACTACAACACAAGAAAGTCATTGGCAGAACAAACTCATCCAAATACATGTATCCAACATGATAACCAGCTGATATTGATAAATGATTTTCAATTGCTCAATGTCCAGCGGATTACCCGCAAATGTGTGACGAGAAATGGATCACCAACATAACTCCAACAGAAGGGAATGAAAGGGAAGAGGAACAATTAAATCTTAAAAGCGGAACCTTCTCTGTAGCAGCTTGTTCAATCAGGGCACAGCCCAAATCAAGGTTATCATTGGTAGCAAGCAGCACGGCATGTTCAAGGAGCTCATTTGTGATGCTCAAACCATGAAGTGAACTCCTCAGTTGGTTTGATATCGAAGTACGTAGAGGTTCCTGAAAGAAAAATTAGCATAGCTGATGATCAATTCTCAGAAGTTGAAAGTACTGGACATTGACTAAACTAACAATTGAGTAATATATTTAGACTATGTGAGGGCAAAACCTTGCAAGTGACATGAGCTAGGCTTCCAGCCAGGCTAGCAACCATCAGATGCGCCGCATGGTATATTCGTGTCTCATCCGTTTCCATGGCATAGTCCTGTTAACCAGCCAATCATTTATATTGAAAGAAAATGGCATTAAACAAGCTACAACCACAACCTAGGAGCATCTTGCAGTAGTAAAAGGACCAAGGCTGCATGTTTCTAAAAGATGATAGATGCAGGACGAAAGAAAAAAGACATGACAGCATGTTACAGAAAGAACACAATGGGCATGTTCATGTGGTAACCTTTAATACAAGCTCCTTCGTCGTCTGAGTAGCAATAGAAACACTACGCTGAACAATACTGGCTACAATGTCCTTGACGGCTCTTTCAATTGCATGTGGAACCACTCTAAACATGTGAATGAGATTAAATTAGTATATAATGCATTAACCTTTAAACACCAAGTATGGAAATCATAACATGAACCCCACCTTTGAAAATGCAAATGTAGACTCCAGCCCTGAAGCTTCTGGTTAATGATAACATGTGGAGCAATGTTGGCCATCGACACAGCAGAAAGCTGCAAATAGTAAAATATATTGTTAAACACTAAAACTAATTATCATTTTCATCGAAAAGAGCTGCAGAAAGCACAACTGGTACCTGATTAACAGCATAAAGAGACTGTGCAGGAGTAGCTTGGAACAGTGCTTGTCCAGAAGGAAGCTGGTCAGACAAACTCAACACAGCTAATTTCTCATCCTCCATCATTGTGCCAGAAGAAAGGAGGACCGGAGCTGGAAACTAGGAGCACCAAAATCAAGTAGTTCAGGCTAAAGGGAGCATATCTCCTAGAAACAAAAGAATAATATTAAACAGCCAAATGAACAAACCTGAGGGAGCATTGTAGAACTAGGAGGACTAGCAACCTCAAGAGGTAGCTCCCCAGGGTTCAATGGAGACATCATTCCAGATTTGACTTCCGGGACAATTTGCGATTGAGACGGTCCAACATCTTTATTAGAAAAATCAGGGTTACCTTCAATCTCCCTTTTCCTATCTTTCAGAAGTGAAGTAGGAGTTATGTCCTTCATGTCTACACTAAGGTTCTTAAATAGGACCTAGAATGTTAGTAAAGAGTTAGTAATTTACAACTAAGTATAACCTAAGGCACAAAAAAGACATTTAAGTTCGCAATGTATTTCACCTCTATGTCAAACTTGAGATTCATTTTCAAATTTGGCATTGAGTAAATCTCAGCAAGCAAGCCCAGGATTCCCATTGTCCAAGGGTTGGGGGGCTGATATGCCAGACTGCTTTGACATGGTTCAAGAACCTAGATCAATGGAAATAAAAAAGATATGAAAGTCGGAATCGCAGCAATCAAGAGCATCTACTAGTGTTGCTAGATGATTGTACCTTTGATGTGAATGGAATAACAGCAATCATTAAGCCTTTCTCATATGCCTGGCAAAGAAAGGAAAACAGACATACATGATCCCCGAAGGTCATCGTTTTCAAACGTACTTAAAAGACAAATCAAAGTAGGCATGCAGCATGTAGCACATTTATACAATCAGCTACCTCTATGATTAGAGATTTTGGATCTATCTCACGGGCCCTTAAGACCTGGTTCCTGCCAATTGTCAATTTCCCAAGCCAACTTCCCAAGTTCTTTAGCAATGAACGCTCCTCTGAACTCGATTTTATAAGCTCTGATCCTAACAGAACCTGAAATTGCAAGCAGTTGACACAAATTATTGACATGACTCGATGAGAAGTCAATGCCCCATGTTTTACGAAGCTTAAAATCGGACTAACCTTGCAATTTTCATATGTGGCCTGAACAATGTCCCTATTCAGAGCCTTTAGATTAATTTTGTCAAGAAACTTCAAGTACAAGTCATGGAAATTCGGCTCAATGCTAGCTCTGTTCAGATATAAACAGAAATAGAGTAAGGAAAACCAATGGGAAAACTATGCTGAACAGCAAATCATGAGAATGGAAACATGATGTATATAGTACAATCTGAGATCCCAACCTTTTCATGACCATATACTGAGCAAACCAGGGATAATATTGTTCCGTCAGTACTTCACTGAATTCTCTACCTTTTACCTCAATATTGGCAGTAGAAATATTGTTAATAATGAATGATATTTTATCTTGAATTTCAGAAGCAGGAGCCTGCAAGCACAAAGCACCAGGTCAGTACCAGAATCACAAGAACATAGTGCTGGCAATAATACCTTCACCAAAGCAAACAAATCATACCCAGGTGACCATTCTAATTATCAGCTAATGACTATTCGTAACCAGATATGGAAGATCTTAAATGCTTTAAAGAATGTTAACCCAACTCAGACAAGACACAAGTTACAACTACACCGTACAGTCACGTGAAAACTCAGATTTAACAGGCCAGAAAACAATCAATTTTTCAAATTTGAAGTCATCCACAAGATCAATTGGGATTGAGACATCCTGAAACCTCCAGTAACTTAGTTAATAGACTAGGTCACCTTGCCAATAGATTCAAAATCGTAAGAATTGTTACATATCCAGACTGACAATATAGATGAGCACCATGCATCACATTCTCCCGATTCCCAAACGCACCCTTCACAATGTTGCAGATAAACTGAATATTGTACCTCTATTGGTGTTTCTCTTCTCTCAGCAGCTGCTACTAGTGTTTCAATGTTCAGTGCTGAGCCGAACCCTGCATTGTTGAATAGCTGTAAGAAACAGTGGTGCAGGAATATATGCTGAAAAAACCAGATTTAAATGATAACAAAAAGAAAAATGATAATGATAAGAAAGATACTGGTAGAGGTGACACTACGAGAAGGACGCAGGAAACCAGGTGAAGAGGCCGGCATAGCCTGGGTGCTAGAAACACTCTGCAAACAAACTCCATTTATAAAACAGAACGAAAAACTTTGGAAACAACAGTATCCCAAGTACCAAATGCAAAGCATACTCTCTGAGCTGCAGACAAGTCGGCTAGGGAGCCAACAGAAGGTTGTCCTCCAGTGGATAATAGCGGCTTCGAGTCATTAGATGAGGCTACAGGTAATTTGTGGCGGTCATCGAGGCGACCTTCAAGCCTCTGGTGAATGTTTGTAGAAGAGGAGGATTGTGGTGAAGCTGCTGTGGCATTAACGGCATTTAACTGCAAATATAGATAAAAGCAAAAGACCTGATGTCAGGTATCACTCAAGTGACCCGGAGAATGATGAGGTTTTCATGCTGCTCTCTAAACAAAGCTGATTAAATTATTAGGTTTTCAAGTGAACCTTGGAACTAACTAATCAAGGCAGCTCAAGGAGTTATACAACAAGCTTATCACAGCAAACACGAGTGTATTTGCATGAAATGCATGTGGGAAGAGCTGAATTATTCTTGATGAACCATGGGCATCCCCCCCACAGAAATCAAATTACTATTACTTCAGTTTTGGGGTTCAATCATTCAGACCTTCAAAATCAAGAAGAGGACTAATGAATCTATCACAAATAGGGGAGCCATCATGGAAATCATTACCAGCACTTATCCGAAGATGCTTTTTACCCCAGAATATATAGCATAGAAAGGAAAACGAAAAAACTCCTTACCTCACCAGGTGTAGCTTGCGGTAAAACATGTTGATGAGTAGCAGAAGTATTACTACTTTCTGATTCCAAATTCCCAGATGAAATTCTGGCTAGAGCTCGTTCAATGAAAGCAACAAGTTCTGAATGGGCTCCACGAAGATGAGATATTTGCAAGATATGATTGCAATACTGCGGCCACTCAATCAAACGATCCACGAACTGTTCCAGTGCATTGGTGCCAAACACAAACATCTACAGGTAGCACTTCTCTGAGCCAGACTACACAACGAGGTATCAAAGGAAATTCAGTCAGCAAGAATAATACATACTTTAGAATCTGGAGGTTTCCGCAGGGCATCTAGGACACCACGTAAGGCAATCCCGAGAGTCAAATGAGTAACAAGTTGGTGCTTGATAACCGAACCTGAAATGGAAAAGCGAACGGAGATCAGAATTCTACCACAAGTCCAGAACCACAACCAGAAAGATGGAACAGTATTCCCAATCGCAAGTATTACAAAAGATGCAGGAACTCTCAAGGATAAAGTGAGATCAGATAATCAAAATAATTGAGGAAGTCCAGAAGTTATCAAGAGACCAAGCAGGCACAAACATAAGCAACAAACTGAAGCGACAATGCCAAAAGTACCAGAAAACAGAGCAAAAGAGCAACAGTAATTGCCTAAACACTTTCCAATAAGAAAAAACTATAAAAGAGTAAAATATAGAAGATGACCATCTACACAAATATTAAGTGACTCACCAAATAGAACAGCCGCAATTCTAAGCTGCCTTTCAGGATACTTGGGGAAGAACCTGTATTCCTCAAATAGATTGCCAATCATGCACTCAAAAATTGACTGTTCCCTGTTGATGATTGTTGCATTACAATTACAGATTACAATACCCATAACAATAAGTCTATGAAATTGCTCAAAAGGCTGCAACAAACATAAACAACCTTGCAACAAAAAAGATTTTGAACATCCCCCGCCAGCTACACACACAAAAAACTCAGAATAGCCTTTGTACATTCACTCCTAGGCAACAGACGTTACCATTATCCAATGAAACCACCGTTTGGAAAAATGTCATCCTCCTGTCTACAGTGACTCAAACCTACTGTACTAATTCATCTTTTAAATTTTAATTCAATTTGAGAAGATTATGAATTCGACCAAAGATTTATTTAAAGCCATTTGTCTTACTCCAACAAGGCCAATTCAGGAGTGAAATGGGATTCAGAAGTGGTATAGAAGTCCCCATACTGACATTTAACAGAATGACAAAAGAACAATACCTCGCCAGAGAAGATTCCTTGAATCTGGCAAGCATTTGAACCATTGCATCAATTGTCAACTCGCCAGAGAACATTTGATGGAAATAAGAGTTTGCCTCTGCCTCAACATCCTCTGAATATCCATCAGGGGCAGATGACTCAGCAGAGCCACCATTCTGCAGCCTAGGATTTGAATCCACAATTGTTGCCTCCAACTTTTCCACTTCCTCAGGAAGTTTGATATTGAGAATCAAGGGACTGTGAGCCTTAAGAGCCTACAATATCATATCTCAATTAAGGAAAATTCATCATACGGCAACAAATTCAAGAGGAAACTTGTAGATTTGAACCTTCAATATGGTGGAGATAGTATTGAAATCAAAATTCCCAGCAGCATTCCCATGATGAAAAGGTTTTCTAGAAAAATCTTGGGAAGCGCCAAGCTGAGATTCCTTTAGAAACTTGAGGCACTCCTGAGTTACACCATAGAGTATATATTAGAACCAAAAATTTATCTATAGAACTGAGCATTGACCCACTGTGGCAACTGTAACAGCAACTAAATAAATTACCTCAAAAAATGAATCCTTGAATGTAACTAAATTACTAGTCAGCCAGTTCTCAAGGTCCAAAAACTCCTTTCGTGAAGCTAGGGCAGCCAGTCTTATGCCTACGCGGAAAGGAATCAACTCCAACAATGATGACAGGATCTATAATTGGAAGAAGAAAGAAAATGTGGGCATCAGTACAGGATCTACAAAAGGTAGAACCAAATAATAGAAGCATATGAATTAGTTAATAATATCTACAAAACAACTTCATGTCAAGTTGCATCCCTTTCAACATTTTCAAGAGAAACAAGTGATAGCATCATCAGTACAAGATTTTACATGTGACTGCTAGTCAGAAATGAAGTCTAGAATCCAAATATACTCTAGGATTGAAGATGTAAAGTAAACAGTTACCTTAAGTTCCTGGGACAGATCTACAAGTTTGCCCATGATCTCTGGATCATCATTTTGAACATCCACAAATCCCCTAACAACAAGGCCAGGATTTACATGCCATAGGTACAGGATCATGCCAGCACAGCTGGAGCTTTTGACGATCACAGGGAATACGGTAAAAGACACCTCATATTGGAGCAGGTTATAGGCAGTCTGCATGCAAGTACAATTGATCAACCAAAAGGGATATCACCAGAACCAAAAGAAGAGACCATGAATTAGTCCAGGAGCTAACATTGACATGAGACATTCCCAAAAGTAAGATTTCTGGGCAGTGCTCAAGAGGATATTCCAGCAATGCTCGCACATAGCTGGCATGACCCTTCTCAGATAACTGACAAAGAACGTCTAAAAGGTCAAGACACAGCCATGCGTGATTGGCACATCCAGCTTGAAGCTTGTGACCATTAACTGCATCAATGTAAGCCTGCAACAAACAGCTGGTAAAGGTTACAACCCTGGCAGAAAATTCAGCAAGAATGCAAGAAGTAGCACAAAGAGACGGCTCCACCAGCTGCCTTCCAGAGTGAGCAAAAGTTAACACTTCAGGCGGTGCCAAAACTGCATATTTGAGAAGGGACAGCTGGCCCTCGGTATTCTTCCAGGGAGACCCACAGATAGCATGAAGAGGAAATGGATCCTAAACCAAACAGTAAGGAGAATTAGAACGTGCAAAGAGAATAGATCGAAGGACAGGCTAACAAATACATGTACCCATATATATACACATATCACTGAAAAACAAATACCTGGCATGCACAACCATAGACAGACATAAGAAAAGAAAAGGCCTCTTCATTTGGAATATAGAATCCCTCATGATCCAAGCCTTCAATTACTTTAATCCAGTTCGTATCTGGTGCCTGCATCCACAGCATAGAGTTAGCAACTGAAGTAAGAATCTCATATAGTTTATATCTAATGAAGAGCACATGTGTAGATATGCACTCACCAGCTGGTTGATTGTTCTTACAAAGACTCCAACATTCCAGGAGCTGACAGTTGCTAGATCATTTGAAATATTGTAGCCCAGAGCAGTACTGAAGGTTGAAAATGTACTCTGGTTATCCTCCAGCCCAGCCTGGTTGCATACAATTTTTCCAAGAATCTTAGATATGGTAATCTCAATCAGTGGCTGAAAAAGGGTCAATATCTCTTGGCAATGTGTGGCATCCGACGTGCATCCATATCCTAATTCCTTCACAATATCTCCCACACTCATTTCCTTCTCCATATCAGCTAAAATTGCATCAAATTCACTTTCTTTGCTTTCATATAACCTGTCAATGGTTCTGCAGAAAACACACGGAACAAGCATAAGACTAAAAATAATCAGGAAGCAGAGAACAGCCGTGAAGTAGATGACACATTGTCAGGGAAATAAAGATGGGAAATAGAACCTTAAAAAGTTTGCTTCGCGTAATTCTTCTGAAAGTAGTGGAGATAAGACAAATGGTACAACATCTTTTGATTGCAACAGTGATAGCATTTGCATAAATCGATCAACATGCTTCGAGAGACCCTCCGAACGCTGGAGGAACATTACGATTTTCTGGATCTGCTCCGTGGAGGTTATAGAAACAGGATCGGCACAGAGTTCCTCAATCAGAGACATGCAGAACTTTTTTGCTGCAAAGCGAAAAATTTAAGGGCCATGCGACAAAGTATAACAGGACTTAAATTTACGAGAGGAAAAAGAAAGGTCATACAAAAGGTACTTCAAGCTTACGCACCATGCATCCTAGAATCAAGATTATCTGAATCAGACAAAGCAAGGCCAACGCCGATCTTTTCATGTACAGTTAAGTGCAGCGCAGTAGAGAGATTCTCCAGCAGTTCCTCACTTATATCTACACTACGTACAGACTGACAAAACACTGTAGAGAAATTTGGTGAGTCCATCAGAAACTTGAAAGTGGACTCAAGAACTGGTTCAAGATGGACGTTCTGCAGATCTGTCTTGCGAAAGTAAAGGTGTTCAAAGCATATCTGAAGCATTAGAATGCTTCCTTCAACACCATAATCACTGAACTGCCATGAAAGAAACCATAGGAGAGCAAATTAGTCAGAAGAATAAAGCCCTGAAACTTTTTTCCCCAAACAGAGAGAAACCACCTTAATTAACCATTGGGTAAATCAACATTTCACCAGGAACAAGAAAAAAAGGATATCAACAAAAAAATAGGTTACTGCAATTCCATGCCCCCCAAGCTGAATGGGAGAATCCGAAATGTACAACCAAGTAATTCAATTCATTGTGAAGATCAGATGAATCTTTCATTACCATAACAACGTGCAAGAATTACAACGAAATTATAATGCACACTGAACCGAAAGGGACAAACAACTCCGAGAAGTTTATATATCACTGCTCGAGAGAGAAGAAAGGCAAGACGTGAAAATACCCCAGGATTGATATCGATCTTAGCCCGAAGTAAACAAACTCGGTAAATAACTAGCGGGAATGGGAAAAAGAACCCTCTAGGGTTTGCATATGTACGAATTGCACAGTGAATCAAGGATGAGTGCAGGAATTAGGATCGGGGAGAGGACTTGAGAGCAGAAGAAGTGAGGCCTGGAGTGCATAGGGAGGTACCTGACATAGCTCCCGGAAAACAAAGTCGACGTTCGTTCCATTCAAGCTCTGCAGCAAGGACCGAATCTGGTTGGGAACGGTTGGAGATAACTTAGGCATCGAGGACGAACTGGGAAGGCAACCAAAAACTCCGCTAGGGTCTCTTGCTGTTGCTGGAAGCGGCGAAATGCGGGAGAATGGGGTTACGAATACGATGGGGAGGGTTTCGAAGATTTTGCCGATACGAAGAGCTGTGAGCGATAGAGACGGACAGAGACTGGTTTACAAGAGAGATTTTCTTCTATTTCTCACTGCGGAACAACGAGTGACTTCCCATTCTTCATTGGGCTTTTACATTTTTCTAGGGATGGCAATCGGACTAGTCGGGTCGAGCGCAAATAGTGTATATATGTTATTTTACCCAAACTAGTTCGGGTTTTACTCATACTCACATAAGAAATTGGTAGAAAATTAAAATCATACTCATACTCGTTCGGGTTTCGGGTATCCACGATTATCCATGGGTAATAATTTCTCTTTATAACTCTAACCAATATGTTAATTTTCACACGTATTCTCACATTGCATAAGAGGAAAAGTACAACAATAATTCACTAGAATGAAGAAAATTAATTAAAACAACACAATTTCATGAAAATATTATATTTATTTTCTAAATATAAAATCTGTTTGAGAAAAATAATGATTGTTTATATACAAAATACATATGCATGTGTATAATCGGGCGGGTTCGGGTTGGATAGTGAGAAAACCATGTTCACTCATTAACCGCAATATTCAGGTTTTGGTTTTACCCGTACCCACAAAAAGTACTTAAGGTTCGGTTTTTACACTACCCGATTAGGTCGGATTCGGGTGGATATCCACGATTACGGATATTTTTGTCATTCCTACATTTTTCGTTTCTCGCTTCTCGACAGTGGTGCGGTAGGGCATGAGATTAGTTGGTAACTTCTAAGGGGTGCCAACAGGGATGTCAACGAATAGAGCTGAGTCGAGTCGAGTCGAGTCGAGTCGAGATGAACTTTGTTATATTTCAGGTTCGGCTAGTTAAAATATTTCCAAGCTCGAGCTCGGCTCGAGTTCGTCACGAGTTTTAATATGCAAGGTTGAGCTCGGCTCATTTATAAAATTGAAAGCTCGAGCTTGACTCGCCAAATAAGTTTAACGAACCCAAATTTGAGTTCAACTCATTAAATGTTCATAAAATAGTAAGATTGAGCTAGAATTGAGCACAAAATTGCATTCAAACATGTACAAAAGTCTCTAACGAAACAAAACACAATATTTATCGCAATTTCAATACATAAAGTCCATGAATTCCAATTCTTTATGGTGCCAAACCGTTGAATGAGCTTGTTTGCGAGCTTTCGAGCGGAACATGGCATGGTTCAAGTCCGGCTCGTTTAGTTAACGAGCTTGTTCGCGAGCTAGCTCGATTAAGACGAATCGAGTGTCTGATAACACATAAATTAGTGTTATCTAACCCTCATATCAAGGTTTGTTTCGTGCCAATTCATGTATATAATTGCTTGAACATCGTCAATTGCATCCCTATCTCGTTCCTATGTGAATTCGATGTAATTTTAGAGTGTATTAGACGATATGTGCGAATTAGGTGCAAAACAAGGTCACAAGTGTAGCAAGGGGGCAGGAAGCTGAAGATCGTGGCCTCGAAACTGAAGATCACGGCCGGGAATATCGATCGCGAACTCAAGCTGAAGATCGCGACCCGGAAGCCCCAGATCGCGACCACGAAGTCAGCCCGCAATCTCCTCATTTTCGAAGGCCAGGACGACAGCGTTTCAAGATCGCGACCTCACTTCCGGAGATCACGACCGCGATCTTTGTGCTTCTGGTCGCGAACTTCTCCGTCCCTAGATTGCCTATAAATAGAAGACTCATTTCCCCCTTTTATAAGAGCTGATTTTGAGAGAAATTTATGGTTTTAGAGAGAGAGAGAGAGAGAGAGAGAGAGAACCTGAAGTAAGAAGAGAGAAAGTATTTTCCTCAACCCAAGTTTTCTTCAATTTCTTCTAGTTTTCTTCTTCTCTCCTTTGTGGAGTAGTCCTCTAAGATACTAGGGGTTATAAACCCCAAACCCTAGTTTTAGGGTTTATTATGTATATATGAATATTTTAGGGTTTGAATTAATGAATGTGTTTATCTAGTTGATTATATTGCTATTCTATCCTTGATTCTGTTTGGGTAAGTCGTCATAATCTTCTCTATTAGCCTACTTTATGCTTTTATGTTGGGTATGGAGTTCTAGGGTTAGACGGGTATGCGTCATCAAGCAAATCGAGATAGATGTATGAATAGGGACCTATGGTGGTCAAGGTGACCGAACCCCTCTCGTAGGTTAGCCTTCCTAGATAGAACCCGGGATGAAACCTCGATGTGGACGGTGGATAGAATCCACTGAAATGAGCCATGAGTTTAATGTCCCAGATACGATAGCCTAGATCGAGGTGACTATATATGGGATTAGGGGGGCGTACTCGGAGGTGTGTAGATAACCATGAAAGCTCACGGAAAAGAGCTCACTCACCACATTCGATAACCCTGTGTATTTATGAATGCGTAGTAACCCTAAGCTAGGGGGAGGATTAGTTCCTCAAAGTACCTGCTTTTAACTTAGATCAATCTCTAATCTAGTTATCTCCTCAAGTCCTCCACTCAAACCTCCAAAATCGATTAGCTAATTAGCAACTAAGTGGAAAGTAGGCTAGGGTACCAGGACCCGAGTAAAATACGACATTGATTACCACTATACGGCAATGCTATCTTAAGTTAAACTTGACTTAGGATGTGGTAGTTGTTGACACGTGTTAACCATTGACGATAATCTGCATGGATTGAATCGATCAGTGTCGAATGAGTTTTTCTCGTGTCGGACGTCGAGTCGTTCATGAGCGGCTTGGTTCATTAACAACTTACCGTGCAAATAATTTCGCTATGGTTCTCGAAGCGATTTTTTTTAGTACGTACTCACACGGCCGAAATGATTAACCATTCGAATCGCTCGACCGGTTTTTTTTTATTTCTGGACGTCTGAAATAAATAAAAAATTGACAAAAACTTGTAATTTCAATTTGACTTGCGTCGGGTGGGTTGATTTCCCGACCTTTTTCGACTTCTCCTCCGGGCTCCGACCAGCAACTCATCGCCGAACCCGCTGGCGAGCTCTCTCTCTCTCAGTCGTTGTCCTCCTTTTGCTTTCCTCTCGTTGTTTCCAGAGAGAAAGAGAAGAGGAGAGAAACAGATTGGAAGTTGGAGAGAAGAAGTACAAAGGATGGAGGAAATTAATGGTTTATGGTGAAACAGAGAGGAAGAAATAGAAAAAGAGCATTAGTGGTGTTTCTGGATTTTGAGGGAGGAAGATTTGTTTTGATGAAAGAGAGAAGAAGAAGTTGAAATTGGAAGAGAAAGAAGGGGTTGAGCGATGCAGGTGGGATAGAGGTAGGGTTTTTAGTTGTAATATATATATTGTAAAATTACTAAGTGATAAAGTAATTTCATTTTAGTTATCAGATATTAAATTTACTATCATATGTGTCTTTTATTAATGATATTGTTGTTTATAAGATATCGGTTCTCTAACGGTTTTTTAATGGCTCAATATCGGTTGGACCACTAAAGTACGAGCCGTTTACAATACCAGGTTGTGCTCCAGTTCGGTTTTGACAACATTGGTTTAGAGTTTAGACAAACCCACCCCAAATTCAGGATTATTTCCTAGGTTAGTCGTTCACCGCTTTCGAAGGGCCGTGGTGAAGCATTCACCGGTTTTGTAGGCCGCAGTGAAACCCAGACATGTGTAGATTGGAAATTTTTCATAAAACGCGTGTATTTTGTGAATTTGTTTTAAAAACGTGTGTACTTTAGGGATGACAACAAAACCCGAGTCCATGGGTACGACCCAACCCGATAAACGAGGGTAAAACCCGTGTTGACGGGTTTTGGGTCGGGTTTAGGGTTAAACCCGTTCACTGTTCACTGGGTTGGGCTTGGATTTAGGTACACCCGCCCCATGGATACCGACCCACACTCATATAATTAATTTTTTCAATATATTTAATATTATAAGCAATCTTCTTTATGTTTGTGGAGACATGTCTAATTTTTTTCTTTCTAATTGTGTAAAATGAAGTTGATATTATTGAGTGGAGAGTGAAGAAGCTTAATTTACAATGAGGAAGAAGCTTTCAATTAATTATGTTTTTGTGAATAATTTGTGATTTGCTTCAATTTTCTTGAGTTTTCTAGATTGGTGTTGAACAATTTGTATGGTTAATTTGTGATTTGCTTGAATTTTCTAGAATAGTGCTTTATATATTGATAATTTGTATTTAGGAATGGCAATGGGGCGGGTTTGGGGCGGGTTTGCCTAAACCATCCCCATCCCCGCTTTCAAATATCCAAACTCATACCGGCTCCATACCCCATACGGGGAAGGTTTTGAAAACCCTTCCACATACCCGTGGATTTCGGGTACCCATGGGTAATACTCGCCCCGTACATCTAACATTATAATACTTAAAATTTTACATGTAAAATTTCAATTATAACACTAAACGCACCTACTATATCATGAAGTCGACGAAAAGATAATCATTCTTAATTCGATCAAAGCATTATATCCTAAAACATCCATTAATCCGTAAGATAGAGTAACAATATAAGTCAAATCATTATTTTTTGACTTTGATACATCTACTAAGTAATAACGAACTAACATAATCTGGTTAACATAAGGGAAAAAGTGAAAGAGTGAAGCGAGAATTGAGGGAAAAGAATTATGTTTTGATTTGGGTGGCCACTCAATTGCATTTTTACTATTTATTTTCTTGAGTTACCCTCACTATCAATGATAGATTACAATTTGAACTATGTATTTTTATATGTGAACTTGGTGGAGCGGGTATGGGTATGGGGCGGGGGAGGCGAAAACCATACCCGCCCCATAACCATCAAACGTTTTGCGTGTTTTACCCATCCCCCTCCCCATAACCAGTCAATGCGGGGATTCCCCGCGTTGACTAGGTCGGGGGAGGTCGAATACCCGCGACCATGGGTTTGATTGCCATCCCTATTTGTATTGTGAGATTGATATTTGACTTTTATTTTGATAAGAACTTGTTATTGTAAATATTTTACGACCAAACCCATGGGTACCCATGAACTCGCGGATACCTAGCGGGTTGGGTTTGAGTTTTCCAAACTCAGTGAGTTTTACCCTGAATTTTTTGCACCGATAAACCCATGGATTTGAGTTTGGCAAAACCCAACCTCAAACCCAAACCCAAACCCAAACCCAAACCAACCCATTGTCATCCCTAATTTGGCATCTTATATGCATGTAGTATGTAGAGGAGAGCGGGGTGAGTAACCTAATTCGAATTCCCAGAATATTTCCCACCAAAAGTCCGATTTCCCTCATTCGAGTATCCATTTCACTTCCCCAGTTCACGAAACCAACCTAGCAATGGCGCAGAAGGAAGCTGGTTCGTCTCTTGATACTCTGATATTGCGTTTCAATGCCAAAATCACCGAGCTTCAGGATCTCGTAGTCGCCCGAAACAGTGAGAGTCACTCCTTTTCAAACTTTCATCTAACGCCGAGTCGCAAGCTGCCTGCCTCCCGCTCATGCTCGTCTCTGTCTTTGTTTTCGCAGTGTACCCAGCGAGTAGCGTCACTGATCTGTCAGCAGTTGACACAGCGCTGAAAGCTATGGAGCTTCAGGTTCACGCAATCAAGGGCCGGCTGCGAGAGGAAACAGATGCCATCCCTAAAGCTAAGGTGCGATTCTTCTACGTTTCACATATTGATTTCCCTTTTTCATTTCGATTAGGGTTCCCGACTTACGCTACTTGAAATTTGGAGTTTCTTAACAAATTCGAGTCCCAATTATTCGCAATGAACTTGATCGAATCGCTTCAATTTAGCTGATCCTTAATTTAGGAATTGTTAGGGTTGGGTTGGGTTGGAATTCAGATTTTGTTCTTTTAAGCCTCTTTGTGTGATCGACGGTAGCTTTTGCCTTAAGTGTCGCAGAAGCTCATCGATGCATCACTGCGGCAGCAGAAGAAGCTGCAGGGTATGTCAGCCTATGTGCCGGTGTATCTGCCTGAAAGACCAACCATGTCTAATTTGGAATGTGAACGAGGGTAGGCGGATTGTTTGATGCCTTCTATCGATTTTGTTCACCAAAAATTCCTGTAGCTTGTCATTCTCACAATTCCCTTTTGCTTTATTTACCAGCGCGTCGCGGGAAACTTCTGATCAACCGACCAGTTACCGGTCTGTGATAGTTGAGGAGGAGCCTGCAGCGTTACCCAGGGTACTTTATTGTTGTTCAAAGCAAGCAAATAAACCCTTCAATCTCTTAAGCTTATCTACTTGTGCACCCTTTGCTGGAAACTTACAGCTCCGTTATTTAGAAGAAACATACCTAGTTTCGTATTGTGGGTAGCTATGAAGTTCCTTGTCATTTAGCTCTGAACTGACTATAGAAAAGTGTATCTTTTCTGTCACGAACACCCTAGTTTTCCTTAGTAATGCCTAGAGAATAATAGTCTCTTGAATTGCACGGAGTGCATGATTATTCAGCTACCCTTATTTTATTTATTTATTGCACTTTGTGATATGAGGAACCCACTCTGTAGTTGATATTCAAATCTTTTCTTTATTTTGATTACAGGAGAAAAAGGGTCGTGGATCTCCACCTTTGTGGTATATAACTTCCGAAGAGCTCGATTCATTAAGCTCGTGAGTTAAATCGTTTCTTTCTCTTCTAGACCTTTGTCTTAGTTCATCCCCCCTAGACTATGTTGTTGAACTTTCAGGTGTTAGAAAATATGACACTGAAGCAGGTTGAATGAAGTCATCCAATAGTTTCAGGCATTTCTTCTGATGGGCATTTGAAAGTTCTACCTTCCTACTGCAGATACATGAGAGGAAGACTCACTCTAGATAAGATCAATGCAGCTGTCAATGATATTGCAGCTTACGCTGAAGCTAATGTCCAACTTCTTGCAGCTCCAAAAAAGAAGGTTTAAGTTGACTGTTGTTGTTACATTCATTCCAGACCATTTGATTAGGTCAATATACTGAGCTACCTCATTTTGTTTGAACTTTGTGAAGATATCAGAAAATCTATGGGAAAAAGCTTTGGTAAGTGCAAAAAGTCAGAGGGATTTCCTTCTATCCAGGCACTCATGCTCAAAGATGGAGCGTATTTGAGCAAATGTTTCTTGTTTATTTTCTATTGGACGATGAAATGTGCAGGAGCTGAGGGATATTGCAATGACTGACGCTGCCAAGGGGAAACACTTCTTTCTTGAAACTGACGTGAAGGGACCAAACCTGAAGCTTGACAACAGTGGAAAAGCAATCTTGACTGTAAGTAGTCCATCAGCTTGGTTCCTGGTTGATCACATAGTCAATAGTTGACTGCTACTCATTTGGGCAAAGCATGTGTATCGGATAAGTTCTAGGAATCTGAAGAAATGAACACATCACAGCACATGGCTTTCAGTTGATGTCATCTTTCCTTTGCTTGGGTGGCTTGACAGATTCTACGCCACCTTGGACGCATCACGGAAACTCGTATTGGTCATCATCGGGTGATCATTCTCTTGAAGAAGCCGTAGTGAGCGGGCAGCTTAAAACATTGGCAAGCTTAAAACTTGAGAGAAGCTTAGAGATAAGGAGGTAAGTTTGGATGTATGGCAACCATCTGTGTGCATTGAATGAAGCTTAGCGAACCCAAAATGAGTGGATCTCAGGCTACTTCGATTCCTATGAAGACCATGAAGATGATCAGTCGGATTGCAATTTACTGGTATGATATTGAGAAACCATGATTCTCACTTGTCAGTGTAGGTAGATAGATTCTCTGCTTGTAGCTGCCAAAACAAGTGAAGGGGGTGATAGTTGATACTATTGGCTTGAAGTTGCTTACACTTGTATGGTATCTCCCAAAATTCTAGACGACCATCTAACTAGTAACGTCAGAGTCCCCAACATCAATTTTGACAGTATGGAATCTCTATCCTCTAGGCCTAGGAGAGTCTTAATCCGATAGTCCCTGCCTACTACTTCAGTATAGTAACATTTCTAGGAAACTATATGGGTAAAGAGTTTTTATGTTTTTTTTGGTTGTTAATTGCAACCACCAAAAATCGGAAGTGGACAGGGGTTGGGTTTATTATTTTGGGTTGGTTCACTAGTTGAGTGAGTCAGTTTTCTGAAGTGGCAATCCGGTTTCAATTTTTGTGGGTTAAAATATGCTGATTTGGCGCTTTTGTTAGCTATATCAATAAAAAACTGACGTCGTCAACAAAGACTAATGGAAAGTCACGGTGAGTGATCAAATTTGAATATAAACCAATTTAGTAATCCTAGTGACCATACTTACAATTTCCCTTTTTCAATAATGGTCAATGATGATCAAATTTGAATATAAACCAATTTAGTAATCCTAGTGACCATACTTACAATTTCCCTTTTTCAATAATGGTCAATGATGATCAAATTTGAATTATAAACCAATTTAGTAATCCTAGTGATCATACTTACAATTTCCCTTTTTCAATAATGGCAATGATGAGGAGGAAGCAATGGAGAATGCAAAAAAATGAGGTGTCATAGAGTTTGTTCATTTAGAATCTGAGCTCTTCTGCTTCTTTTTTTTATTTCTTTTTTAACTATCGAATTTTTGTGTGTACATACCTGGATTAGTTTTTAATTAGTGCCAAACTATGATCTGTTCTTTTTATTAGTGGATTTGTTGGATTCTTTTTTAATGGGAAAGTTGAATTGTAATAGAAATAATTACATAAGAGTAACATAGTAATTTGTGTTTCATATTCACAAATATTATCTATCAAAATTTATAGTCAAAATCAATAGGCAAACCATAGACTCTTTCAAATTCATAATGCTCACAAATTCATCACAAACCTAGAATTTTCCAAAACCTCAATTTTCAAATCTAGTTGTGGTGAATTTGGGATAAAAATTAGAACAACGGGGCCTCCGGCTTACCCCAACAAGTGAAGAAGGAAAACCTATAAGTTAGAAGCATGAGGCATAAGTAGTACCGTTGGGATTAATAAATGTCATCATAGAAATTACCATATGTCGTCTTAAAAATGGTTAAATATATTCTCTTACGCTTTTGACTATTTTTCCAAATTTAGTACTAACAAACAATTTCCCCTTGTCACCGTGGTGTTTTGTCACTAATGAAATGTTATTTTCCTATAAATTCATTAACACAAAAAAAAGGAAAAATGAACAACAAATCAAACCCAATATCATCTCATTATTGTTGGGTTCAATCATGTCAGATAGGGATGGCAACCCTGCCTGACCTGTCCGGTACCCATCCAAAAGTACCCTAGAAGGGGTCAAAATAACCGTCCGTCATAGCTAACGGGCGGATTTGGGTATGCCCGAAACCTGACAATAGCGGACAACGGGTGGGGATGGATCTCATAGTATCCTCCCCAAAACGACGTCGTTTTGGACTGTAGGTATACAACCCAAAGGAAGGATCCAAAAACTCAAATGCAACCCTGGGAAACTTCACTTCACACACACAACCAAACTTCACTTCACACACGCAGAAAGTTCGTGGCCACTTTAAATTTTTCACCAGCCATCACTGTTTCGTTATCGCCGCAATCTCTATTCGCCCACCACCCAATTCCACCGCCAACGGAATAATCCCCTGCTTCTTCTCCTCAAAATAGCGGGTGTCGGTCGTCGACTTCGCCCTGGAAGTTGCTACACCACCGATTCGCTCTTCACCAAACTCAGCTGCAAGATGACGAAAACCAGGAGCAGTGCGTTCGGGGGGACGAAGGAGTTGAATTCTCTGTACGGAGGCACCATCTATATAATCGGCAGCAGTGCGCTCGGGGGTGGCGACCATATCACCGACATTAGTGTATTTGTGGAGCATTTTCTAAATTGTGTTCCTCGCAAGGTCCACCCTAACTTTTCCTCTCAATAGCAGACGTCGACTGTGGGGATCCGTGGGTTGCTCGAACCCGCTATCGTAAGCTTCTGATCCCGCCATCGTTGGTCGGTAGGGGTGGCATCCGGTTCGGTAAACCCGAACCGAACAGGACCAAAACCTAATTGAACCAAACCAAAACCGAACTATCCTTATTCGGTTCGGAATTCGAAAGCCAAAACTTAATATTTCGAAAATCAGGGTCTGTCGGACCGAACCCGATTTCCGAATACCGAACCGACCCACCGAACATACACTTATAATGCACAACCCAAAACCAAAGCCCACAACTGACAACCCCAAGCCCACACAACTCTTGTGAAACCCTAGCCCAATATCTGCCCACCTCCAACATCACTATGACCACCATCTCCTGCTTCATTCTCTACCCCAGCCGACCCAACAACCAAAAGTCTCAGCACTGCTCCCTCCCCCAGCCGACCCACCTACCAAAACTCTCACCAGCAGAGTACAAGATCTGCCAGCTTCGACGGCCGACGCCATCGCCCCAACCCAGGATCTGCTCGACGCCATCGTCCCAACCCGGGATCTGCAGTGCTCGACGCCATCGCCAACCCAAGATCTGCTCGACTCCTTCGCTTCCCTTCTTCGTCGGAGTCGTCACAATCATCGATGTCCATCGTCACCGTCGCTGTCGCCGATGGGTTGTTCTCTCCGTCAATCGCCATCGTCGCCTACCCACTGAGTTGTAATCTCCGTCAATCGTCGTTGCCGCCGAGTCCAGATATGGGAGGAGAAATCGATGCTACTTTGTGCTCTTAGGGGGAGAGAGAGAGAGAAGAATTTGTTATGGGTAGAAATGATAAGTGGGGGAGGGAGAGAGACCGAGAGTGGATTCTGCAATTTCGACTGGAATCTCAAAATCGAATCGAACCGAGATATATTTTGGTTAAGATGAACCGAACCGAGATATATTTTGGTTCGGATGAACCAAACCGAAATATATTTTGGTTCGAACTCGGTTTACTCCTTGAACTACTTCGGGGACTCGGTAATCATCTGTTCGGTTCAGTTTGAACCAAATCGACCGAATGCCCACCTCTATTGGTGGGGCTCTAGCTCTTTCTTCTCTTCTTCCTTCTTGGGGAGCAAGGACACCGATTCTTCTTTAAAACCATGCTTTGATACCGATTGTCACGGGCCTAAATCTCGATCGTGCAACCTTAACTCTCAATTCTGTTAGGGATGCTAAGTCACCCTTCGCACTCACTCAAACTCACTCAACTCACAAGAAGAAGAATACAAGAAGATGAGAGAAATTCTCTTGAGTGTATTGCTCATAAAATGATGGATGATTACAAAATGAGGAGGATGTGCTCCTTATATAGGCCCTCCTCTCTTACAAGGTGCTAATATCCATCATAATGTTCTTCCCCATTACTACATCCTATTAATTCTCCCTCATAATGCACACCATTCTACAACCTCATACGGTGGCTCTTTATGTGCACTATTAAACTCATCTTTAAGATGTGAAATCCTAGGAGCATCCTATGCTACTAGGTCTTCTATAACGCCACACGTGCTTAACTCGATCATGACCTGCCACATCACTCGCCATGTCACCCGCGACGCGTGACATTCTCCCTCACCTATTCTCAAGGCGCCCTCGTCGCGTCTATGCTACGGAATGTCTCGATCGACCTCCAACAGTCTTTCCCGACTCTAGAGCCTCGGTCGTGACTCTACATGACATTGGGCCGTGCTTGGGCCGGCACGGGCACGCTTCGGGCCCATTTCGTGCCGTGCTTGGCACGACCCGTCAGTTTTCGTGCCGTGAAAGCCCATTTGTTAACTTTGCTAGGCCCGACCCAGGCCCGAGCACGGTTCGAATCGTGCCGTGCCTATTCGTGCTCGTGTCGTGTTTAATGAAAATGAAGAAATTAAAAGAGATAATGAAAAAGAAGGTGAAAAATTGGACGAAGAAAGATAGTATTAATCGAGAATATATGAGAAAAGTAACAAATAAGGGGGACATGAAAATTGAAAGTATAGCGAGTGTGATTTGACTTTATTTAATTGTTCGTCCATTTTTACTTATGGTAGTAATTACGTATATATTTTTATGACACTTCTAACAACAACAAATAATTATTTTTCTACTTGTATTTTGTAATATTTGAACCTATAATTCTTTATATATTTATTTTCTATCAAATAAATGTTATTTTTGTGCCATGTTCGTTCTTATACTCTATAAAATCTCAAAAATATTAGGCCCAACATGGCCTACTTATATATCGTGCCCGTGCCCATGAAGTTTAGGCCCGGCACTGCCCATAAATTATTCGTGCTCGTGCCGAGCTGACCCATTTATTTCGTGCCTGTGCTCGTGCCGTGCTATAACCGTGCCGTGCTAGCCCGTGGGCGGCCCGACCCGGTGCCCACGTACAGTCATGACAGTACCTTCCTAGGATCTCAAAATGTTTTGTGGAATAGAAAAATTTTCACAGCGATCGGATACCCGAGTGCAAAGTTACATTCGTTTGAAGTTTCAGCTTAAATTAGGAGTTGATCGGAAAAATAAAGTTTGGACCAAACCGCTGGGTAGGGGCGATTTTAGACCAAACCGCTCCAAACCCAAGCGGTTTTGAAAATCGCCCCATAACCATGCGATTTTCAAGAAATGGTGGTATTTTTGGAATTTTTTCGGAGTTAGATGGTATTTTTATAATTTTTTTTAAACAATAGTATTTTTGAAAAAATTCCATTATGTCTTTGGGATTTGCCAAATGAAATCGAAAAGGGTCACTACTCGCTAGTCTTAGGTATCGTTTGCTTGTGGGATTTGGGTGATGGATTTGGCACCCAAATCCCAAGCATGTAGGACTTGACACAAATCCATTGTTTGCTAAGGGACACAAATCCGTGAAAAAATGGTTCAAATTCGTGGGCCCCCATTTTTTATATCCAAATCCGTGGACCTCACGGATTTCCAAATCTCACATGTCATTTGGAATTTAATAATGGAAGACAAAGTTGTGAGACAAATCCATCATATAAAAATGAACTAAACAAACAATAGACTTTTCCAAATTCATAACGCAACAAATCTATCATAAATTTAAAGGTTTTCAAAACTCAAAACTCTCGTTTTCAATTCCACCGAGCAAAAGAGCCCTAGTCTCCCTTGCACCGACGACGCCATGACGCGGCTGACTCGAACCATCATCCAGCGATAAGGGAACATATCGAAGTTCGAAACACGGAGGAGGAGAAATAGAGTGACAGACTGCGCCAAGGCGAAACCCTAAAACCGAAAATCATCCAATCATCCGGTTTCAGGGTTCCCTTAGATTCCCCCGGAACCGGACGGGAAGCGGAGCGGAAGAACCAGGGAGCTCGAACAGAGGAAGATTCGTCTGTGCAGGCCGAAGGGAGAAGAAATAGCTGAGAGGCTGCTGCCGGGGAGATGGGGAAGAAGAAGAAGAGAGTGTCTTCCAAGGTCTGGTGCTACTACTGCGATCGCGAATTCGACGACGAGAAGATCCTAGTCCAGCACCAAAAAGCCAAGCACTTCAAGTGCCACGTCTGCCACAAGAAGCTCTCCACCGCTGGCGGAATGTCCATCCACGTCCTTCAGGTCCACAAGGAGTCCGTCACCAAGTACACACCTCCTGCCTCGCTCACTGTTTTGCCATTGTTCAGATTCATACGTGTGAAGAATTTACCTTCTGACTAGGATATGTCTTAAGGTTCTTTTCTAGTGCATTTTTTTCACGTAAGTAATGCCCTTTCCGCTCTCGCTAGTTGCTCCAAGTGATTGCGTTTTCTGTGGTTACACAGCCCACTGCTAATAGTACTAGGTTCTCTTCCAAAGGGAAGTCAGAATTTTTTATATAGCAGAGTGCTAGGAATTTCGGTGTATTGATACCTCATGGGTGGGACACCACTAGAGACAAGTTATTGGACATGGAAGGGCTAGAAATAGGGTTGTCTTCTGTGAAGAGCAATGCTGTGTTCTAATGACTTTTGGGTTTGTTGGCAGTTTGAACTATTCAATTATGATGTTGCCTGTGTACAACAGATATTTCTAAAGGTTTTGCCTTTAACTTTGTATCGTTTATGTGAATAATGTGCTTTTCGCATTTGATCCAGAGTTCCTAATGCAAAACCTGGAAGAGAAGCAACTGATATTGAAATTTATGGAATGCAAGGAATTCCGCCTGATGTATTGGCTGCTCACTATGGGGAAGATGGTAATATTTTGGCTGCGCTTCTTTCAAATTTAGAAATGCCAAATTCTCAAGATGGTTTACTTGGTATGCCTCCACTTGTGGAGTTGCTAATTGTGCTGTTAGAGATGTAATTTCTGATAACCATTGAATCTCATACAGATGATGAAGCTCCATCTAAAACTGCCAAGGTGGATATTCCTTCTACTCCATATGTAGTTCCAGGTTCATTGCCTCTTGGATATCCTCCACGACCTTTACGCCCGGTGCCCCCAGTGTAAGTTTCATACTTCTGTTGTCTCACTTTTACATATTCATACTTTTGTGATTTGGACGCTAGTCTTGCTGTTTCCATCTTCATCAGTATTTTTGGGGTTGAATGGATCTTTTTGAGCTCTGTACAGGAAGGATGCTTCTTTAATAAGTTTCCAATCAAGTGTGTTACTTTGTTTGACGGAATCCATCTCATGTAGCTCTCTAGTCATGGGTCGACTCAGGGCTCTCTATAACTCACATTCATAGGGTTCATTAGGCAAATGGAATGGAAGATGGTGTTCTGCCTCTGAATAGTTTCTGGAATTTCCCAAAAAATTGGTAGTAATTATGAGCTATAGGGCTGGCCCTCCAATCCACAGCATGGTTGCGTGTTAGAATCCACTCGAAGAAAACAAGTAAAGAACTTAATTAACCAATCCAAAACTGCTCAGGATCCATTTGTAACTGTTTAGATTGGCCCTTTATGTTGAAACACTCTTCTTCCAAAAGGAGCCTGTTATCTTTCGAATAACATGTCTGGTGACATCCTCGGTTGTTATAAGCTTAATTCTGTAGCATTCCATTTCGAGAATCTTTTAAAGTTAAGAGTGGCGAAATGACGATACAGTAAGTAGATGTGAGTAACTTATGTGTTTTTTACATCTTTCTCTTTTACTGCAGTTACAGTTCTGGTGTGTCTGGTGGTTGGCCAGTTCCTCCACGTCCCCAGACTTGGTATCCGCAGAATCCTACTGTTTCAGTTCCTCCTCCAACTCCTGCAGGATACGGTCATCAGCCATTGTTCCCTGTGCAAAATGTGAGGGCTTCTTTAGGCCTATCGGCACCGGCACTCGTACTTCCTGCTCAAGTGGCTCCTCCTGGACTGCCTTCATCCACACCTCCAGTTCCTGTGTCGCAGCCTCTGTTTCCTGTAGTTAACAACAATTTACCTCAAAGCCAACCATTTTCTGCTCCTTTGCCACCCCCTAGTATACCACCTGGAACTTCTGCTGAACTGAGAGGACAAGCTGATATACACTCTGGAATTAACAGTTATACCATGCCAGCTGGATACCAGGCTTCTAGTGTGCCAGGTTGGTTCTTTTTTTGCCATTGCTTCTATCTATGTTTTTGCAACTAGCTCCTATTTATAATTTAATAAATCCATCTAAGAAGGTAAAGAGTAGAAGCCTGCTGCGAAGAGTGAACCAACTGTCGAGGAAGGCTGATTTTTTGGCAATTTTTGTGGTTCTGCCTCATGGAATCTGGCCTGTCAAATAACAAAATAGAATGTCGCTATTTTCATGTATAGTATTTTATGTTTGTGTCAGACATCATTATGATTTTGGTGGTCAAGCTATTATATTATACACTATCCATGCTAACTATTTAGTCTGCCCATGTCTATTGTAGGTTCGGCATTTCCTAGTTCACATTCCTATGCCTCTGGTCCAAATACTGCGGGTCCATCTATTGGACCTCCTCCAGTAATTGCAAACAAAGCTCCTGCTAACCAGCCGAGTGAAGTGTATTTAGTTTGGGATGATGAGGCCATGTCCATGGTAAGTCGGCTGGTCCCTTTATGTAAAACCTTCATGTGTGTCTATAAAATCTTTTAGAAGTTCAATTTCTTTTCTCCTAATGCTATGATTTCCTTGCAGGAGGAAAGAAGAATGTCCTTACCAAAGTATCAGGTGCATGATGAAACTAGCCAGGTAAGTGATGACTACCTCTTTAGTATATGGGAAATGTTTCCTCATCTGACGAGTTCGGTACGCTTTATATTCTGTGTTTTCTGATAAAAACTTATGAATTGTTTCCTATTCATATGGTGTTTCTGTGTGCCTATGAATTCCCTTCAATCAAGAAATCCATAGTTAACAAATTATGTCTTCTGATTGGCAACCTGTTGGTTGAGCGGCGCAAGGTCGTGTGCTTGACTTCTATTGACCTGTTTTGCTTGCCTATCCTACTCAACATGTAGTTATGGCCTTATGGGGAGATATGAGTATATACATATCTATTATTGCTGGTAGTTAGTAATTACCCTTTTGGCAAAGCTTGCTGGAACAAATCAAAGGTTCTACATCCTAATCCTATCATCATTCTCGGTTGAGCAGCGTGTATGTATTTATTGCTTATTCGAATTGAATTTTATGTACTTTCCTTTTATTGTTTTCCCTCCCTATGCTTCACTTTGTTGGGGGTCGGGTGTGGAACAAAGATGGTATCCAAAGGAATTTTCTCCATGCATAAGATCATTACAATTACAATTTACTTTTACGGCCGAACAGTGAATTCGGACTTTGGCCCAGGTCAGCATCTTTTGCAAAGTTCGGTATCTTTTGCAGAGAGAAAGCATTCAGATATATGGGACCATTAACTGTCTTCCTGGTGTTTCATTAACTGATCATTCTTTTCTGTTGTGTGTTACAGATGAGCTCCATTGATGCAGCTATTGACCGAAGAATTCTGGAGAGCCGGCTGGCTGGCAAAATGGCATTCTAGACTCAAGACTTTTGCCATTCATGGAAAACTCTAAGCCAGAGAATTCTTTTTGCTGAGAATGCATAACCCTTGATGAATTGCTAGGGGATTACTCTTTTGATGCCAAACCAGTCTTCCTCAAACGAACCAGCCGATGGTGTATATTGTTGTATTCCTTACAAGAACATACGGAAGAAGAGCTATTCTTTGGAGTATAACCAGGATACAGCAACTTGGCCGAGAATAGATTAAGTTATACGCATTTATGTTATTACGTAGTGATATAGATTTGAGTTTTGGTTTGAATGATGCAGCTTTTCTTTGTTTGGTAGGGTAACCTTTGTTGCTTAGAAAAGGGTGTTCAACTGTAACGTTATGTGGGAATATTACATTGATTTATGTGTCTAAGCTCTCAAATGATTTAGTTGCACCCGCGGGTATTTGCCGACCTGATTCGCGATGGGGTGGGTAATGCCCGACCCGTAGTAGCGTGGGGCGGGGTATGAGTATCTATTTCCGACCTGGCTTGTGCCACCCTGCCTCGTTCTTGGTCAATTCTATCTAAATTTTTACGGTATCTATACATATTTCTCCTATTTTGACTTTTTTTCCCCAACTAGTTAGAATCGATTTCAACATGTTAGATTCAATTACCTATTCTATTATAACTATTTTTCATTAATACAGTGTTTTCTCCTTCGTTTTATCGCAAAAAGTAAAATTTGTGTATATTTTTTTCAAATAACATATAAAAGTCGGTCGACCCGCCCAACCCCGTACTCGCCCCGACCTGCAGTAGCATGGGGCGGGAATGGGTATTAAGGTACCCGCCCTGACCTGTCCCAATGCCATCACTACCCCAAATGCTTCTTCAATGTATTAATGGATATGTGACTGGACGGGGTGGGGACGGGCCGGGGTTGAGGTGCTACCCATGCCTGATCCGACCCGACCTGTCAATGTGCAGGTCGGGTTTGACCTGTCCTAAAAAGGGTTGGGTCAGGCCAACCCGCCTGGTTGGGCCCTAAATGCCATTTCTAGGTATCCATGACGTTAAATAGTAACGATCGACAAAAAGAAAAACCCATAAAGCCAAGAACCAAAAATAACCAGAAAGGCAAGAAACCCAAAAAAACTCCGAAACGTAAGAAAGAAACAAAAAAAGGGTTAATAACTTATTTTGGCCCGAACTATGACCATATAATCAACTTTGGCACGTGGTTTCAGAAATTAGCATTCTGGCCTCAACTATGCAGCATATAGACTCAATTGGCCCGACACATTGTTTGATCGTCAATTTGGACGGTCAACACCATTGACTGTTAGTCAACACACCATGTCATTGCCTTCTCAGCCTAAAGATCATTAAAAAAATTCAAATTCAAATTATTTTCCCAATTTCTATTAATTATCATTTTCAATTTAACCAAAAAATAAAATTTAAAATATAAAATAAAATTTATATTTTATTTTTTGGATATTTGAAAATGATAAATTTTATAAATTAACAAAAAATTATCTAATTAAATTTTATAAATTTAAAAAATATGATATAAATTATATAGTTTATTTTTTTGGATAATTTTTAAAATATAAATAATTTGATAATTTTTGGTTAATTTATAAAATTTATCATTTTCAAATTACCCACAAAATAAAAAATTAAATTTATTTATGTTTTTATAATTTATTTTTGGTTAATTTGATAATAAATAACAAAAATTAGAAAAATATTTAGAATTAGAAACTTTTTAAAGAATTTTAGACTGACGAGGCAATGACATGGCGTGTTGACTAATGGTCAATGGTGTTGACCATCCAAATTGACGGTCAAACTCTTTGTCGGGCCAATTGAGTCTATATGTTACATAGTTGAGGCCAGGATGTTAATTTCTGAAACCACGGGCCAAAGTTGATTATATGGTCATAGTTCAGGCCAAAATAAGATATTAACAAAAAAAAAACACCAGAAAGACAAGAAATCCAAAAAAAAACCATACAAAATCCGCAACATCATATCTCCATTAGAGGTAGAGCTGGAAGTTTGGTACCGGTATTTGGGATATATCGAATATCGTACCGAATTTGTCTATATTTGGTATTACTGAATACACGTGTCATTTTTTGGGATTGGGATTGAATTTCAATTGTTATTCGGTATTAGGGATTACGGGATTGAGATCGGGATATACCGAAATACCGATCAATACTGAAATATAAGCTACTTTGTATTTTATCCTCTCAACTAGACTCTCTCAGTTACTACTACATGACCGTCAACCACAAAAAGTGTCATTTAATTATACACAGATCATTTCATCACTATTAACAGTCGTCTCTTAACCTCCAATTCGTCAAATTAAAGATTATCAATAACAACAACTTGAGATGTCTCCTCTCCTCCACTCTCCTTAATAATATCCTAATTCAAAACTTTTTGCTTAATCTTTTCCCCTAAATTAAACAGTAAAATCTAATTTATATATTTAATTATTAATTACAAAGGTAATTAATTTCGTATTCGATAATACTGATTGGGATACCAAAATATTTAGGGATTGAGATTGGGATACCGAAATTATTTAGGGGTTGGGATTGGGATTGACTTTTGAGTGTAATTCGGTATTCGGGATTTCGGTATTTGGTATTGGGATACCGATACCGTACCGATTTCCACCCCTAATTAGAGGCACTCCAAGCTCCAGTGATCCAAAGATGAGCAAGAGCAAATCATATCTAAATTCCTAGGGAGAAAGGAGAGCAGACTTTTCAAAATAAGAAGAGAGGATTTCTTAACACATATGGATACTAGTATTTTCATTTTGGATACTAGTTTTTTTTTACGTTATGGATACTGATTCTCTTGGCTGACTTGGCTCTCAGCCAAGAAGCCACCAAAATCCACTTAAATGAGCCCTTTCTTAAGCCATTGAGCTCCAACCATCAGATCCCAGCTTCGCCTACGTGGCCATCAATTTGGTCGTGTGAGTATATACCATGGTTCAAAAAGGCACGTTTAACCTTACGCTTAGGCACGCCTAGGCGCAAGGCAATGACAAAACGTCTCGCCTAGTTCGTGCCTAATTAGATACTGGAACACGTCAATGGAGTAAGGCGACATATAAGTCTCTTGAAAACATTACTAGATGGAGGTAGGAAGTCAATATTAAAGGAGAAAGGTAATATCAACTATGAAATTAATTTTCTATATCAATATTTTCAATAGCTAAAGAACTTTGTGAGCTATTGAGCTATGATTCTATGAATTCGTGAGTTATGTTCTTGTGGTTAAGTATTGAGTACATTATTAATCACTTTAACTGAAGTGAGGAAGTGTTGTAGATTATTATTTCATTCATCATACAGTGTGAATAGCTATTTTTCTTCCAACGCCTCGACACGTTTAGTCTACACGAGCTAGGCGCTAGGCAAAGGCTCAACGCCCGCCTTACGCGTAATGCCTTTTTGAACCTTGTTATATACTAAAAAAAAGCTTGTTAGCCAATTAACTTTTTCCCTTTTGTTGAACAACCACCACCCAAATCGCAAGCCTATAATCAAAAGGTATTGTTGTTGCTTCTTCCTTAGCAAAAGGCACTACTTGCAAACCCTGTAATCAAAAGGCATTGCTTCCTCGACAAAAGGACTGTTGTTGCTTCCTATGTCTACGATGACGATAAGGGTCCTCTATACCTTGTTGTGCCACTGCAACGCTGATGGAGGACAATGATCGATTTGGCCTTTGGGGCGACTGGAATCTTGTCGAATTCATCAGATGGGGTATGTGGCTTTCGAGTAAGAGTTGAGAATGAGAGATCTATAGCTATTGCGGACTATTCGAATGCACGAAGAAAGGGTATGTTCGACATCAATTAACCACAAGGGCCTTGACTGTGGAGTGTGAAGGGTGGATTGAAATGGTCGTGGCAACCCCTAAGGTTTGAGTTTTGGCTTTGTACGATTAGTTATTCGGTTTGGTTTGCGGTTAGTCCACAAACCTCAAAATAAAAAATTCTGCTACCCGAGACTGAATAAAATCCTCTTAAACTGTTTGTGGTGAACTGCTAACTGCGCTTCTTCGATGCGGCTGGGTTTAACCGCAAAACCACATCCATTTTTTTTTTCTACAACTATAAATGGATATGATGAACATATATTTGGTGTGGAGAAGACTGATTGGGTTTTGTCCAGTTGGTGGTCGTTACCCTTGTTTATTGTTTCTACAATCTCCTAACTTCTATCCTCCGACACTTTTATGTTATAACTAGATATGTTATCCCCACTTGCGCTTCACGATGAATTGAAAATAGCACTGTAAATGTTGTATGAAAAAATTAGAAAATGTAATTCAGAAGACATAATGGTAAAGTACCAGGAAAAAATCACAAGAGTAGTGGTAGAGCTCTAAAGCAATTTGCACTCTCTAGCCAATGAAACTATTGATAAGAGGAGGACGATATACATACCATTGAAAAATAATTTTTTTTGGCTGTAAAATAAAGAAAATATTCAATTTGGAGCTCGTCCACTATTAATTAGAATTTAAGAAATTTCTGTGTTTGAAAAGGAAAAAGACAAAGAGATGATCGATTATGCACATGCTTTAACCCAACAAACAAAAAGATAACCCTCGGTCACGTGCTGTATATTTTTGTTGTTGTTGTGGTTGTAATAGAGTTGTGACAAGTATGCAAATAGAAAACAAAAATAGTTAGTAATTAGGAGAAATCATGAAAGTTCACAACAACAAACATATTTTTTTTTTAAAAGTGGTTGCACTGGTTTTATCTAATTTTTATGGTGTTGTCAACTCTTGTTGCCACAACAACGGATAAAAACATAAGTAAAGATCTTTTAATATCTGTTTTCACATGTGAAAACACAAAACAGAAAATATAAATGATACTGAACATGGTCTTAGAACTGACCCTGTGCTGTCATCTGAGATGGAAAAGAGACGCAAAATATATGAAAAAATCAACGAACACTTGGGAAAAAGATGGAAGAACGTTGAATCTCGTTTCGCTAGTTCCTTGGTCACTTTCATCTTCTTCGATGAAAAGTGTGAGATTTCTCCTTTGTCTGCCTCTTCGCTCTTTAGCGAGAGAGATGAGTAAAGATGCATAACCAAATATGTATAAAGAGGTAAGTTTCAACACAACAAAAACAAAGCGATATAATAAAAGAAAAAGGAAACCACTAAAAGGTTCCCTTATGTCATCTTGGAAGGTCACTTTCTTAGAAGACAAAGCTGAGAACATAAATGATTTCTTACCATACATTTGGTGTGAACAACCACTATCTAAATATCAGTTTGATCATCTTCAAAGTTGAATGATTTAAAGGAGAGTTAAACCTCTGATATTAAGAACTTGCTTCAAACGCTTCATACTCATGAAAAGCAACTACAAGCATTAACGAGTATACATATCATGAATACTTTCACCTGATGGCATGTCAAACGCTTCATACTCACGAAAAAGAAGATTTATGCGAGTTTCCTTATGTTTAACGTCCCTTCGTAGGTATTTAGGAAAGCAGTCTAGGTCTCTCACATTGGCTTACATTGTTCAGCTCAATGAACTTCATCAGGGCCCATGGCAGATTGCATTCTTTGAATGATCTTGCATTGCTAACGAAAATAACGGGCATTAGGCACCCGACAGTAGGAAGCTCCTTTTCTCTGGATTCTCTCTAGCCTTTCATATTCCATCTCTCGCCGACTCTAGCCCTTCGTTCTTTTTATTTGCATGTCTTCCCTTTTATACACTTTGTTTCTCTGCTTTTGATTTCGGTTCCATTTCTCTTCTTCCAGTCTCTTACTTCTGTTTGCTGTTCTAATCTGAATCTTTAGATCTAGAAAGTCGTTTTCTTGTTGTGGAAAGGGAGACTGGTGTTGGCTCCAAGATCAGCTTGTTTTCTCATCTTCTCGTCTCTCGTCTACGCCCTTACTTCACTGCAGCAGATCTCGGTGTTTCGAATATGTAGTAGTCCTCTTTTGTGTGCCGGTTCCAACATGGTTGAAAATTTTTGAGGGCAGAGATGGTCCTAGTGATTTCAAGTTGTTTGGGCTTATGAAGTTTTTCTTTTCCATGTTGTTGTATAAGTTGTCTTTCTGTTGGACTCGCCCCCTTGTTGTACACTTTCTAAGTTTGCAATAGAACTGATCTTGTAAAAAAAATGTATCCTTGATGCGGTCCTCGGGTTGGTTTTGAAAGCTCCAATGCAGTTCCCATTCCATAAGACCTGCATCTTTGATGTAGTTACACTTAGCATGGGATTCTAATCGATAGTTGTCGGAATGCCCAACCGGGTGTGCACTTTGGTTTTTAACGAAAAAATACTATGTATATTTATTGAATCTCAAAAAAGCAAACTTTGGCATTCAAACGCTAGAAATGTGTTTTGGTTTTGCGAGTACGTAACATAAACCAAATTTCATTCCTTGCACACAGCAAATTCACTTGTACTCGATTGAAAAACAAAAAGAAGAAACAACATTATTGCACTAATTATTCATTAGTGCAAATACCCAAGACGTAAAAACACACACTTGAAAAAGCAAATTATAACCTCATCCCACTCTCTGGCTTGACACTTGCAACTCCAATTCAAAGACAATTAAGCAAAGTACGGAAAGAGAAATACATAGCACAAATTCTAACTCGATCGATCTTTCCTTCACTCGGAAAGATTTAGCCTCGGGCATATCATTCATTGAGCAATTATTTCAGGGTTTGGCCGTACCACATGGTGCAAACATCGTTAGAGAAGGAGCCGGACGTGACCGATTTGCACTCGTCCAGTGAGGTCTTGGCAGTGGAAAGACACTTCTTGCAATTCTCGATGTTGGTCCCGGGGACGCAACTGGCTGAGCCCGTAACGCCTCCGATGGCGCCCTTTGGGTACGACTTGGAGTCGAAGAAACCCTCCTTCTTCGGCGTCGTGTCCCATAGTCCCGTGACAACTTCGTCTATGCAGAGGGCATAGCGATTCAGACAGGGCGCCATTGCCGGATTGGGTGCAACATGGCCGCATTCTGCTTCGACGACGACGATGGGAGCATAGCCTACCACCGCAATCATCGCTATCGCCGCGACTAATTTACGAGCAGCTGATGCATAGTTATGGTGCGCCATGGTTTAGCTAGCGAGTCTATAAGCTTTCTGTGGTACTGAGATTATGTGGTTAGGTTTGCTCTTTTTATACAGGCTAGTGAAGGGCTAATGTTCCCATTCTGCGGCAGTCTCGTAGGTACGTTGTTGTCGTATTTAATTTCTTCTATTCTAGTGACATATAGTCATGTAACCAAATCAAGGGTCTATCTGGCCACCTTTTATTCCCTTTTCTGCACCTTTTTTACATTTTGTTTCTCTCTATATAGTTTGTAGGAGATCCAACTCTTGCACCTTTTATATTTTTTAGTTAATGGGGTCAACACATTGATTTTGGACGTTGATGGCTTGAAGTTTTTGGAATGAGTGAATATGAGGGGACGTGAGTGGGAGGAGGATAGGATTTGAAAATGGGGTAAGTTGCAAGTTTGGTCACTGAATTTTTTAAAACAGTTTTTTTATTCCATTCATGATCAGTTAAATTAGTTTAACATAACACATCTTTCTAGATGTAAAAGTAAATAACGAAAAGTGAGAAAGTAGAGAGAGAAAGTGTCTTCTTCTTCTCTGGTTAGCTAAGTTTTCGGCCCTAGGGCTTAGCTAGTTGCGTCGGTACCTGCACCGGCGCAACTCCTTTTTCGCCTCTTTGTCTTTTTTAATGAGCGATTCACCACCGGTGAGCAGTGTTCTGCAATCGGAGATTTCGGCCAGCACCCCTCAAGAGCCGTCACAGCCTTGGGCAAAGTTGTTCAGAATCTCTAACACAAATCGTCTAACGTATATTAAACCTTAGATTGTCAATGAAGAGCTTCGTATGCCGAAATTTGTTCGAGAGGAAGGTGCGGCAAGATGGAAGAATTGTCTCGTAGGTCAGTTTTTGAATTCAGCTCCATCGTTTTTTATTTTGAGGACATGGATGAATCATATTTGGCGTAGAGATGGGATTGTTAGGGTCTCCTTTCTGGGTAATCATTTGCTTCTCATTCAGTTGCCGTCACAGTCTACTTGTGAGTGGATTTTGAAGAATGGCTCGTGGTTCTACTATGAGAATCTGTTGTACCCGGGGGCGGAGGGAGAAGGTTAGAGGGTGGATCCCGGGAGATAAAATGGTATATTAAGTATAATAGTTAATTGGATATGAAAAATAACACGTATTTAAATGAGAATGGTTGACCTTTGAAATAATGTATGAGTTATAAATTGTGTATTGGCATATTCAATATTTTATAATGAGCTACGAACAAATCACAATGGTGCATATGATCGATCAAAATTAAAGATGTACTTATTTAATATCTACATCAAATTTCCACCAAATCATAGCTAGTTTGTAAAAATAATTTTATTTCAATAAGGGATAGTGAGAGTGTAACAGGTGGCTCCAAAAGACAAAAATGAAGAAATTAGTATAATAGTTAATTAAGAATGAAATTTAGGACACTTCTAAATGAGAATGGTTGACCAAGATATCATGTATTCCGAATCTTGGCGGCCCAATTTGTAAAGCACATCTTATTCGGATTTGCGAAAATTTTAAACACGTATAAGTTGGTTTTGGTTAGCAGGGAAGTGCTAGTAAATACTAAATACTATAAGATTATTATTAAATTTAACCCAACAACTCGAGTTATTGATATACTAAACCGTCTTGATAAAAACATCATTCAAAAGCAACTCGAGTTCCTTTTCCAGCAGCCACTCTACTCTGACCGGCTGACTTTCCGACCGACAGACTTTCTCCGACAAAATCCTTGAATTAGACTCGCTCCAGCCACCTGCAAAAAATTACCACTTCGTCGGTGCGCTAGTGGTACGACCACTGTCATTGGTACCACTACCAGTACATCGCTACCACTACCATCTGGTATCTGGTAGTGGTATCGTACCACTATAATTTGGTACCATTACCATCTGGTATCAGGTAGTGGTAGCGTACCACTATCATTTGGTACCACTCCACATAGTACCACTACCACTAGAAAAAACCAGATATGAAAATCCAAAAATCTCAGATATGAAAAACGAAGGGGAGGAGAAGAGGTGTGGCACGGAGAGGCAGAGGGACTCACACGAAGAAGAGATCTAAAAAACGAAGAGATGGCAACGACAAGGGTGGAGGGCGGCAGAGGATTGTAGAGGCTACAACTGCGGTGGAGGGCGGCGGAGGCTGTGGAGGGTGGAGGGAGGTGGAGGTTGATAGCAGTTGTGGAGGGAGGCGGAGGCCGGCGGCGGTTGTGGTGGGCGGAGACAGCAGTGGAGGCCGGCAGCAGTCACGTCTCGAGAGATGGAGGAGGGAGAGAGGGAGGAGAGGGTTAGGGAGGAGTTAGGTTTTTTCTTTATTTATATGGGAGGGAGAATAATTGGGTGTGATAACATTTTTCTATTCCAAAAAAATCCTTCTTTTAATCGTAACTATAGATTTGAAAAAAATAAGAAAGAGACAGGTGAGAGAGCGTATCCAATGACTAAAAAGTGGGTTGTTGTGAATCTCACAACCCTCAAAAATGGGTTGTGACCGTATTCCATCCCCATTTTTTGTTGTCCAATAGGTTGTGAATCGATAACTCACAACCCGATCCAAATCAAGGGAACCCGATTTCATTAAAAACCCACCCACTCTTCAAATTAGGGATGGCAATGGGTCGGGTTGGGTCGGGTTTTGCCAAACCCAAACCCAAACCCATGGGTTTATCCGTGAAAAAAACCCGGGGTAAAATCCATTGGGTTTGAAAAACTCAAACCCAACCCAACCTGCTGGGTATCCGTGGGTTCATGGGTACCCATAGGTTTTTGTCGTAAAGAATTTACATAACAAGTTCCTATCAAAATTAAAGTCAAATATCAATCTCTAAATAAAAATTATCCATATATAAAACACCATTCTAGAAAATTCAAGCAAATCACAAATTAACTATACAAATTGTTCAACACCAATATAGAAAACTCAATAAAATTGAAGCAAATCACAAATTATCCATAAATAACATGATTAATTGAAAGCTTCTTCCTTTCAATTAAGTTTCTTCACTCTCCACTCGATGACATCAACTTCATTCTACACAAGTAGAAAGAAAATATTAGACATGTCTCCACAAACATAAATAAGATTAGTTGTTTAAAATATTAGATATACCTAGAAAATTAACTAAATGGGTGTGAGCGGGTACCCATGGGTCGGGTTTACCTAAACCCAAACCCAACCCAACCCGGTGTATAGTGAATTGGTTAAAACCCAAACCCGACCCAAAACCCGTCAACACGGATTTTACCCGCGTTGACCGGGTTGGGTCGGGTGGGTACCCGTGGGTTTGGGTTTTGTTGCCATCCCTACTTCAAATCCCATGGATGTCAATATTTTGGCTTTCTTTATTCCAATTTGTTAAGACAAACCCAGACCGTTCGGTCGAACCGGTAAACCTGTAGTTGGTCTCCACTCCGGCTCGGTACACTCAAATTTTCACCGCTCAAACCTGAAATTCAAAATAAAAAAAGAAAAAATACATAAAAAACGAAGCAGTCATTGAAAAGGAAAGAAGAAGAATCGCAGAAGAATGAAAATTAAATTTGAGAGTTTAAGAGACAAAGAGAGAGAGACAGAGACAGAGAGGGGATGAGGCGGTGAGCAGCGCTGCCAGGGGTGGGTGGAAGAAAATTGAAAATCGAAAAAAAGAAGAAGGAAGAAAATAAAAAAAAATGAGAGTTTGAGAGGGAGAGGCAGTGAGTGTCGACGCTTAGGGTGATGATAGGGTTAGGGTTTTCTGTTTCCCTTTATTAGGGTTTTTTGGTACATAATAAATGTATTTTAGTCATTAAATTGTTAAATTATTACTTTATTCTTTTTTTTTTCCAGTAATTATCAGTTTCATTAAGCTCCACCTCTAAAGCTGAAAACCCCAGCTAAGAGTCGAAAAAATACAGATGGCCAAAGCCAGCACAAGTCAAGAGAACACAAAAAAGAGCTCTAGGAAAGAATACAAGAGAAAACTGAACCCTTCACCCAAGAATCAAACTCTGGTTTCCCACAGCAGTATAAATTGATCTCTGCTCTTATCTGTGCTGCCAACTGAGAAACAGACTTTGGCTGCCCCCCAAAGCATCTGTTGCATCTTTCTTTCCAGATGCTGGACACACACCAACACCAGAGAACCACCTCGATAGAACCGCTGTTTCCCCCTGTCCTCGCCCTGCTGCAAACCAATTTCATCATACCATCCCAGCTGCTAGGTAAAACAACACGTCCCTGCAATAAACAAGTCACAAACTCCACAGTGTAATTGCATTGACAAAAGAGATGTTCCCTGGTCTCAGTACCATGTGCACATAAGACACACTGGTCTTCCTGTACCACCCCCCAGTGCTTCAACTTAGTTTTAGTAGCAATTCGATCCATGATAATCAGCCAGGCCACCACTCTATTTTTTTACTTTATTCTTCGTCCTAACTAAATTAATTTTATTCTAATGCGCTTAATTCATTTATTTGTATGCAAAATTAGCTTACCGATTCGTGGAGCGGGATCGAGAGCGCTTATTCCTCGAGAATTATATTTTGAGAGCGCTAAAAGACATGTATATTATATTATTTTAATTAATATACTAATAGATATTTTACAAAATACTGCCACAAACCAATAAAATTATAAAACAAATTAATAGCTCAATAGTTGTGATTGAGAGTTTTACATATGAATCAAAACATTCAATAGGATTTTTTCCCCCGCTAAAAGTTGGTTACAGAACAAGGAGAAAAGACTAGCTTTTGGCAGGTGTCATCATTCTAAAATACATCACCAATCACCGGCTTAGGATAGGGTCAGTAACCAATGGTTACTGACCTATGAGTAACTAAATCTAGACCATTAGATCTAAGTGGACCCAGAAAATTCAGATATAAGG